CTTTGTTTTATCTTCATTTTGAACTCATATATATATATAGATTGACGAAATGAAAGGCATAGGAAACACAATTTAGTTGCCTAGGTAGGTATATCAGACTCGTAAATAACCATTAATAAAAAATTTTACTTTTCATATATTTTAAGCACTAAATACTAAATCCCTTATATCTTTTGAACTATTGATCTTATAATCATGATTTTGTTTTTCATTTAACATAAAATAATGCATACGAAACTTTGAGTCAATTGTCAAGTTAACAAATGCAGCAAGAAAAAAATGTGTAAAAAAGATATAAGTAGGTACAAAATAGTACTCCTTATTCGTAATTCCTTTTACAATTTATGAGCTAATTTTCCTATTTACTTGGTTTCGGTTTCATTTGATGAAGCGTAAAGAAATAATGCAGGAAACTCTACTCCACTTGCCTAGATAGTACATAAAATTTTTTATCTCCTTTGAGCCTACCTTCTCTACCAGTAAATTCAAAGCTCATCGTGGTGTAAGCTATTGATTTCCATATTTGGTTTGAATCACAACTTTAAAAAAATTAGCCTAACCATTTCCATATCAAACTATTTGTATAGCATGAGGTCTGACGTGTAATATCCATTTTCTAAAACGTATATTTTAATCTCTTAAAAAAAAGAAAATAATGAAAAAATGAAAAAAAAAAGAATGAAACTCATTTTACTATTACTTACTGGGGGTAAATCAGCAACAGGGTCTAGTTTCTCTAAGGGTATATGCACTTTAAAATCGCATTCGTCGTCCCAGTTAGTTGGTATAAAGTCTTTTGTTCTATTGATTAAGTTTTCTAATGGACAGAATTCTCCTCCGCAATCTTCAAAATACAGAGCAATGGGTGGATTGATATGCTTCTCTGGATTGGAAGAATTAAACAAGAGCCACCGAACAGAATATTTGTTTTTCCTTTCCTTCCATAGTTCAGCAATAAAAGTGGCAGCCATAGGTGTTTCCAAATTGTTATACTGATTCAGACTAAATAGTACTTGGTTAATCGTACTTCCATGCTGCAACAGTTAATTAATTTATTAATTTATTTATTAATTATTTTAGTAATTAATTTATTAATTAATTGATTAATTAATTTAATAATTAGTTCTTTAGTTTGTACAATTTAAAACAGGAATAATATCTAATCTATCAAATATGAATGATAGAGCCGCTGTAGCTCAAGGGATAGAGCGCTTGCCTCCCCCCATCCGAGGTACGAATCTCAGCTATGGTTTGTTGATATATATTCTGCACCCGACTCACACCGACCACAAGTAAAATATTCTGGAGTAAAATATTCAGGGTTTCACGGATTATGCGTTAGAGTCCCTTAGCTGTCGGCTAACCACGAGAGGTTTTCGTGGTTTTCCTCTCCATGTAACGTAAATGCAAGTTAGCTCAACCAAAAAGATTACCCTAAAGTCTAGTTTGTCCAAATACTTTATCCAGGAGTTTCCTTGTCTTCTGGGTTAGGTTCAGAATTACAGGGCTAAAAAGATGAACATTAATAGTCGTCAACTCAGAATTTGGTCGGCAGTTCAACGCCAGTTATAAAAATGCAAATGATAAAAAAAAATTTATATTTTGATACTATTTCAGCTAGTATTTTTTAATTATTAATTACTCTACTTAAATTTCCATAATGAGCTTAAAATAATAAAATATTTTTCTTAGAAACTACTTTTTCAAGAAAGCTAAAAGAAATATAAAATACTTTTATTTCTGTTGGACAAGAAAAACGTAGAGCAACAAACTTTTGATTAAAGTATTTCTTCTTTCGTCGATGACTTAACTTCTTTTCTAGTAATAGCTAACTTAACTTCTTTCGTCGATAGGATGGATGTAAATTCTACTTGTAACACGGTCAGACAAGAATTGAAACTTGTATTGTCATCAAGAGAGATCTGAGAACTCTAGCTAGTCCAAAAGTTTACGGTATTTTAATTTCACAGCTTCACGTTACAGAGAGGAATGAAAATTAATTTTAGCGTATGAAGAACCTAAAATCTCCGTAATATAATATTTCCGTGATTTATGTTATTTATTTTCTAAACCAGCTTGAAGTGTATATTCTAAATAGGTTAATGATAGCTCTAGGACTCATTAGTTTTCATTAAATTTAATTAAACATAGTTTTTTTTGTAAAATTAGATAAGTTAGTGCAGTTAAATTTTTAAAAAATATTGCGAAATGTTTGCTTTTTCTTAACTATACTGCTAGTCTATGGGTTTTTAGATTGCGTATCATATTTTAATACAGGAGACAAACATTAATTTTCTTTTCATGCTTACAGTTAAAAAACATGCCTAATTGATTAATTCTTATACATCCTTCAGTTAGTCAAATGAAACGATTACACTAAATAGTTTCTGAATAAAAAATTTTCATGTAAATAATTTACTTACCCCAGAATAAGCAATAACTCGAGTATCGATATTTTCATTGTTTATTCTTTTTTGCATGCTATTAATCATATGTTTCAACAAGTTCCCTACAAAAAAGGTATATATATATATAAATNTATATATATATATATATAATAAAGGTGAGGAAAACAAATAAAAAATAAAAAAAGTAATAAAAATTAAAGTGAAGAAGGCAAATAAAAACAATAAAAATATTAAATATTTAAAAAACAGAGAAAAAAATTAAAAATTTAAGAAAATTAGAAAAAAAAAATAACAAAAATTTATTATCGTGTCTCCAGCTTACACGATTATAACCGCAAAAATACTTCTTTCTAATACTGTATAACAGAAGCAAAATATATAAATACTATCGGTGAAAAAAATAAAACTTTACCAAGTACTCTACTTGTCATTTTCACTCCTAAATACATTACAAGGAGTCATTCATTATCTTTTCTCAGAAACACATTTTACGATGTAGTGAATTTACACATTATTTACATCGGAAACAAATATTAAAACTGGAATAGATTATGTAAGATACGAAGTACGATCATTGGCTATTTTCTAATTTTGTGTAGGAAATATGTCGTAATAATGTTCCGGTAATTTAACGTAAAAGTTTTTGGGCTATTTTTACGACAATTAAAACTGTCGTAAAATTGCTTGTTAATTAAATTAGCGCATGGGTGATATTTCATCAGAAGGAACCTCTTAGTTAGAATTAATGAAAGAAAAAAAAATATGGATACTTTTTTTCAGTTTAAGTGATTTGGATCAGACAACTCCCCAATTTCCTATTTAAATGAAATCTTTTACATCGATGCTTAAAATCTGAACTAATAAAGTTATTTAAATAAATCAATATAACTTCAATTACTGATTTAATTTAACGTTAAATAAAGCTGGGAATACATTGAGAAAAATAAATTGTGTTGGTTGACTTGATTAATAATAATTACGTTGTATTCCAAAATAAATTTTTTTCGTAATTTTTGTAATATAGATAAAATTTTCTAATTTTTAAAATTTCATATATTTTGTTTGGTTGAATTAATTAATGTTTTTCTAACTCAAATAGAGTAAACTAGTTGCTATTTGTAAATTTCCAAATCACAAATTTTCAGACGTACGTTTTATTTTCATTTTTGGAAATAAATCATCCTTTTTACATGTAAGAAGAGTATATACGAACGGGAAACTTTGTGACTTAGTCTACTACGATTTTCTGTATTACGTTTAAAAATTTAATTTAAAAAATTAAAATTGATCAAAAGATGTGGTACAATGATTCCAGCAGAAAGTCATACAATTTTGACTATTTTACGATCAACAAAAAAAATTATGACTAAGTCTTTAAATCCTTTAAAGCTTATTATCTTTTCCTTACTGTTCTCGAAGCTCTTATCTTATTTATGTACAGTTTCTAATTTTTCAATTTTTTTAACCTCTGGGTTATAAAATTCATTAGATTGGGAATAGTTAAGTGAGCTTCACTGGCTCACTTAAACTAAAATACTGTTAAAGTCTAGTTAAAAATGCTTTTTTTTTAAAGGTGAAATTTTCAAAACAGTAATTTGGAGTTGTCAACTAAATGGTTTCTTTATTCAAATTTTTTTTTCTTTTAAGTTTTAGTTATTTATAACACTAAACAACCACATGGAAATCATTCATGTGTCAGTGAAATTTGAATTAAAAAAATCCGAAATTATAACTTTCTAAATATTTATTGGAAATCTATCTGAAGTAGCATAATATGAAATGAAAAATGCAAAAAAATGGTTATCGCAGAATTTATATTCTATATTACCTACTCTTAATCTGATTAAAGTTTTTGTTGCATATCGAAAGTAATAGTTGAGGACGATCTGATGTTGTAGTTCTTCCCAATAGAGTAGGGCCCATTTTGGAGACGTTAAGTTGTAGGCTTCCTAAAAATGTTTATACATAGAAGTTATTTCTCAAATGTAAAACAAAAATTAAGTTTATTACGTTTTCAAAATTTTTTATAATTTATCAAAATATTACATGCTTTTCTTAACTTTAAAAAATCAAGTTGCTGATGGTTTACATCACAAATGTGCAAAATTCCTATAAATTAATCAAAAGTTAATCAAAGAACAGTTGCAAAAGTTTGAGGATTTTTCACACACTGTCAAATAAGGAACTTCATGAATATCACTGACATTTTATGATTTTGCATGAACAACTACCGCACAGAGACAGAAAGCGTTGAGTCATCTCGCCAATCCGAAAAAAAAATTGTGGCAAAACATTTAAATAACAAAAAGAAGGATTGCACAAAATTGCCATAAATTTACTATGCACAAATGTTAAATTGCCATTATGCTTAGGCATAAAAAATACTAAAATTTCCCTAGAAAGAGCGGTGGAGGCTCAGGACATCGAACATTTGCCTCTCAATATGGTTACCTAGGTTCGAATCTCAGAAGTAGCTTGTTGATGCGAATTTTGCTCCGGGCTCGCACCGACCACATTGCTGACGTAAAATATCCTTAGTGGTAGATGGATCATGTGTTAGAATCCCCTTGTCATCAAGCTTACGGAGAGAAGTTTTCGTGGTTTTACTCGCTATGTAATGCAAATGTTCCATCAAAAAGTCTTCCATAAAAACCAGTTTGTCCTAATGCTTGATAAATGAGTTCCCTTGCCTTTTGGGTTGTAGTCAAACACAGCTACGGGTCAAGGTTACGGAATTTAGCCTTGATAGCCGTAAACTCAGAATTGGATCGGGTTTTCAACTACGGTAATAAAATATAAAACAAAGCTGCATTGAATGCATTTAATAGCCATTTTCATGATCGAACTGAAGGCACCTTTTTTCTATCACCAACAACTTTTCTCTCATCAATCCTAACACATTATATAACTTTGACAAAAACGCGCGGTGGGCAAATATCTAAAGAACAAAAGCTTAAATATCATTACTGTCACTAAAAAATTGTCATTAAAACTGTCATTAAATTACCTTTCAGTTACCGCCTAGATCGCGCTATGACATTTCGTAAGCAACGCGTGGCGCTGAGAAGGAACAATGAGTACCGAAGCCCAACTTTTACCCTGAAGTTTTTTACTCAAGGTGGACCAGTTGAATATACACCGAAGAGCCATTACATTATGACCACCCTCCATATATAACAGTGGGCTCGCGCAGGTTTTCATGGTTTCTCGCAAAGGAACAATGTTTTCATGGGGCACATTAGGACCCATAATCCTCATAGAACAATCCCTGACGTCTGTAAGCCACATGAACACAGGGCTAAAGAGAATAGAAGGGCTGGTTCACTCCTTTGAAGTAGCTCTCGCCGCGACGATCCTCCGATTTTCTCTAGTGACGTCACTTTGGCGCAAAGCTCGCACTTTTACTTCAAGAACGGAGCGTTCGGCCTTACTTGCTCTAACTAATATTGGAGCATTTCTTTTTGCGAGATATTCTAAGACATTTGTTATTTTCTATAATGACTTTCCTCAGTTTTTGCAGTGAATTTACAAGATTTTTAAACTATTATCGAAATGCCAGTTTGCGCGATTGCAACTTGAAAAAATTTTGATATAAAAACAAGAGGAAACAATATTATTTTCCGCGTGTTCCCTAAAGTAAATGAACAACTATGTTAAGAATGGATTCCGAAATGACACAGTTAATATAAAAAAGCAATACGTTTATTCTGCCGTCAAGAACTTTTATAAAAATTCATTATTTAAATAGAAACCACCTCGTTACTTCAAAAAGAAAGGCAGGTGAAAAAAATTAAAAAATGGATAAAGTCAAAGAAAATTAAAATGTAAATAAAAAGTATAAATAAAATATATAGCATATAGTTGGAATTCTCTTAATTACATTTATTTACATATTTTTTAATGTAGTTATTCTAAATATTTATGATTTTTTTAAAAAATTATATTCTCTTAAATTTAAATATCTATAAACAATTGTAAAATTTCCAATGTCATTATGAACATAAATTATTATTTTGTTTCAGTAATTAGCGTTTAAGGTTGATGTTTCCTAATGATTAAGTATGAACAAATTGCTATTAACGGCATATTTTAAAATCAGGGATTCTAAATTTAACTCAACTTATTGTTATAAAAGAATATGTAGATAAAAAAGTGTCGATATATGCTTTCATTTTTCTTAATAATTAAAGTTAAAACTGAACTTTTTAAAATAAAGTATTTATAGTGTCATTTTCGCCAACTAGTAAAACATTTTTATAAGTTCAAAATTGTATTTTTTTTTTAATATAATGGCCAAGAAAGGTTTTTTGAACTATGTTTATGAACGGAAATAATGTGTTAATTACGTAAAGTTTGAAAGCTAATAACCAGAAAAAGTCTAACTTATTTTTACAAAGAGAAAGATGCAAAGTTATCATAATATCTTTGCTTGCGATCTCCGAGATCTGTGGACACAGTGACGTCATGAGGAGGGAAATCGTAGCTTCAGCTCTAAGAGCGGAGTGAACTAGCCCTTCTATTCTCTTTAGCCCTGACATGAACATAGTTGCAGACCAGGTTCACCCATTCATGGCGACATTTTTTCCTGCGGGGGATGGTGTTTACCAACAGGATAATGCACCTTGTCAGGTCGAATCGTCGAGGAACATTCCAGTGACTTTCAAGTCTGTCTTGTCCCCCAAATTCACCTGACTTTAATCCAATAGAGCATTTGTGGTCCTACTTGAAAAACCAAATTCGTGCTGCCACGCTACCCCCTTTCAATGTGAAGGAATTGCAGGACCAGTAGGTGAGCGCTTGGTACCTGATACCTCAGACTACCTATCAGCACCTTGTGGAATCAATGCCACTGTGGGTGCTATCAGTTTTGAGGGCTAAAGGTGGTCCTTCATGTTAATAGCAGGGTGGTAATAATCAAATGGCTCTTCGGTGTATAAAATTAAGTCAAATTTCCCCTTATGAAATTTTCTGCAACTAGTACAATTGAAAAAATCTTTAATCTGCAATCTATAAATTCTTTAATCTTAATTTGTAAATCTTAATCTCAATCTTCTTAAGATCTTTAATCTGTAAATTTTCATTACAACAGGCCCTAATTTTAAATTTAAGTAAATAAAGTTACTCTTTAGCTTAACTAGCTAATATGCAGATTTACTAGGGTGATCTATTTAAGGTCCGCTTCCATAAAGTAGTATGCCAAAAATAACACTTCAAAAAGTAATATACCTCACGAATTTTTGTACCACTATATATTGAGATTCTTGGATATTACTCTTTGAATATCAATCATATAAAATTATTTCTTAATTACAATTATTAGCTGACTGAATTCAGATATTCACAGAATTAAAATTTATTTTTCTTGCAACCTGCATTAGGTAAAATAAATTAGATCAATCATAATCGTTATACCAAAGATTATTTAATGCGTTATTTAAAAAAAATTAAAGCTTTACTAGGAATATAAAAATTTTTACACATTGTGAGTAGCTATTTTGTTAACTGGACTTGTTCGCATGCCTTGGACTGGTACAAAGTACAATACAAAACTAGTACAAAGTAAATGAAGCACAGAGACTAGTCCAAGGTACAATACAGAATCAGGTTCAAGGTAAAATAAAGAGACTAGTTCAAGGTATAAAAAGAGCACACACTTTTTTTAAAATTTTCATTTCTAAAAAAACGAAAGTATGTGTTTCATTTGAAAAAGAATGTCATTTTGGTGCTTATGTTATACCATAGTGATGTTTTCAAATGAAAAGAGATAATTTACTTTGAATTCAATCGAGTTTGAAACATAAAATCCTATAAATTCAAATTAATTAGAAAAAGAGAGTTCTCTAGAGCATGCCTCGAAAACCTGATATGGTCTCAAAAACAGCAGATATGACCTAAATTGGTATCAAATACATGTACTGAATGTAAAATTCCTCCATCGGAGGGCGCAATGGTACAATATTCCTTTTTACTCGCATAGGAAGGAGAAAAATAATTCTGGTAAAATTTCCGTATTGTATGGTAATGACATTTCTGGTTAAAAAAACCAATGGCTTTAGAGCAACAAAATGGTAACTGTTAACTGGAAATTCTAGTTTACAAAATTATTGTTCTTAATACTACAAATTTAGTCAAAAAATAAAAAACTGAAAAATAAATTTAAGTGAATAAATGACTTTTGTGACATGAAAAAATAACCCAATTTCACTAAAATTTTAGCTAATTTTTAATTTTATAATAACATTTGCAGAAAATTATCCCATATTAAAAAATATATATTATTGTTAATTTTACCAAAATAATTACCAAAACTCTTCGGTAAAAATTAACCAAGAATTTTGGCCAGAAACACTGCAAATTTGAACATATTCTGTTAGTTTCGACCATACTTTTTTTTTTCTCAGAGTGAGAAGTAAAGTTTTTTGTTACCTGTGAGTTTAGTGTTTTAGCTACTCGTGCAGCAACTAAACACGTGTCTACTTTTGCACCAACGTGAAAAGACAAGTATCTGAAAAAAAGCTGTGAAAAGTTTTTATTAAAAAATTATAGTTTAGTTTATATTTATCAATACTATTCGGAAATAGACAAATATAAACTCACTCTGAATCTTTCGTTAGTTTCGTTAAACAATTTTGTTTTGGCAAAAGCATACTCTTCCAATTCAGCTCTAAGACAATCACCTCTTCCCAAAATTGTCTATAAAAATGCATTCAAAAATCATAATAGAAAAATAAAGTTTCTATTTAAACACTATACCGAAGTTTCTATTTAAACACTATAAAACTTTATACCGAAGGTCAAAAATTATAGATTTGAAATAATTAATTTCTATTAGTGAACTTTTTATTTTGAATTGAAGTATAACACCATTAATTTATTGATGAAGCTTTTTTAAAGGACATATTTAATTTTTTCATATAACATTAATGCGGGATATTTTATTAATCTAACTATGGGAAATGTTTTTGAAAAAGATTATTAAGTGCTTCCATAACTGTCAAATCTTTAAAAAGCGTATAACTTTTTTTAAGTTGGAAGTTGTATAGCTGAATAAAAAACACATTCTCTTGATAGAACTTCTCTCTTACAAATTGCAGTGATTTAAAAAAGGGTTTTACTTTCGATAGACGGAGATAATGTATTCAAAATAACACATCTACAAAAGTTAGGATAGTAAAAGTGCCAAAATTATGTTTAATAATTTTAAATAATCGAAAATTAAATTTAAATATTCCGATCGGTAATCGAAACTTTGTTTACTATGCAGTTTGTAGTTGCTTTGACTTAAAATATCCCAAGATTAGTGTATTGTTTATTTTTATAATATGTAACATTTAAAAAGGTTAGAGGAAGCTTTTTTTAAGCTATAAAAATTTATCACTTTGACCACATATTATTTGTTTAAAATATTGAAAACAGTTCAACGTGTTTTCAATTAATTTTATTAATTTGATTGCTTAATATTAGCCTAGACTGATCTTAATTGAAATATTTACATTTCAATGTTTTATTATTAATATCATTGCATCTCGAAAGTGAGATCATTGTCATTAGATTTTGTCTTTAAACTGTATGCCTGATTGAATCAAGCATATAGTTTAAAAAAACATACAATTTAAAAAAATAAAAAGGTATCATTTATAAATTTTCTGCTTAATCAATTTTATGCCTTTTTTCCATTTTAGAATCAATTTCATTCATTTTGGCATTGTACTAAGGTTTTATAACGGTTAAATTCTCTTTATTAAATCCGTTACATTAAATTTGAATAAATGATGCTACTTTTCGCTTTGTTATCCATTTTTGAGTGTCTCCTTTTTCAGATACCTTTGATATGCTTAAGATTCGGAGAGTTTTCTCTTGAAAAAAGAATCCTTAACTTTTTTCTTTAATTTTAATTATTTAAAGCAACCTAATTATGTTGGAAAATTCCATTTTGAACCACTTGCATATGCATTGCCTTTTTATCTGCCATAATTTTCTTACACCAATAGTTGTTTACCGTTCTTTTACTAAGACAAATGGTTCTACAAAGTCAGAGGAAAAATGTGCCCGAAACATTTTTTTAAAATTGGAAAATGCGGTAATTTATACTAATTGATTCACTTAATGGCATCGCTACTATAACTACGCGCATAGTGGGAAATCTGCGTAATACTACACTTGCATTGCATAACTTTAGTTGTCAACTTAGTAAGGTGATTTTTTTTATCATTTTTTATATCATGCTATTTTTACATAAATCATGTCTTTCATATGTTTACTATTCGTTGCCAATAAGAATGTAAATAAATAAACTGGTATTTTTTTAACATGACTATGAAATTTTTGTTAGCAAATACCTCTTATATCTTAAGAAATGTGGTTAATCACGAAATGAATACAAATTTAAATTAAAATTTGAATTACGATCAGATTTCTGTAGAATTAATTTTAATTTGTTACATAAAGTTAATATTAAACAACTGGGTAGTTTTAAAAAATAAATATGCATATTCTGCTAGTTATGCGCATCAATAATTTCGAAAATTATCAATACACAAGAATACGCATGCAATTCAGAAACTTAACATTATACTGATTTGAACATTTTGAAATTTAATTAATTACACTTGCAAACATACTTTATACAAAATCCCTGCCCGGCTACTCATATGGTCAACTTTTAAGGCAGTCTAGGTTACCTTTCAATACTAGGACAAGGAAAGTATCTTTTTCAATCAACTTATGAATTACTTAAAATTGCATTCAAAAACAGACAAACATATTTAACCAATTTCAGCTACCATTATATGAGATAGAAAGGTGATAAGATTACATTCAACTTGCAAAGGTGATTAACTTGACAGGTTAACGAAAAGTAAAACATACAAATATTTTTTGGGTTTCTTAAACACATTTTCCTATAAATAATTTAAAATAGAGTCATTTTACATAATTTAACAATGTTTTAAAATCTAGTTAATTTTTATATTAATATAAAATTCATAAATATAATAAAAAGAGTAGATCAAATAATAAAATGAGTTCGAAAATCAAACAAATACTTGGTGTTTTTTTTGTAAAAGAATCTTCAGATCTCTAAGAATAGCATAAATTGTTGCTAAATAATACATACAACAGATTCTGAAGTTATCGAAGTGATGGGCTGCCATAAGATTTCTTCTGTGAATTGGTATTCCTTTTTAGGTGCATATAAGCCCGTAACAAACGCGTATGACCCATAGAAAGAACGAGCTGCCTCCGATGTAAAAACTTGAATCTACGGTAAAAGATATACACATTTCAATAGCTGGCATAAATTTATAAGTATCAATATAATAGATTAGCTTTATAATTTAGATGCACAGTAAAGATCAAATTACAGTAAAAAGTACCAGCACTAAAGGTACTTCTTGCCATAAAAACCATTTTTACTGGCGCATGCGACGAAACAATAAAAAAGTCTGCCATATCGTAATTTTTACAGTAATAGTTACCATAAAATCACTCAATTGCTGAAATTAAATAAATACTAGGAGGCTTCGTCCCCTGCTCGCTGGCGCTCACCAACCCCCGGAACTGCTTTCGCAGTTCATTTCGGATTGCTTTGCAATCCGATGCTCGCTTTGTCCGCTCATTGGATACGTTCTTAACGTCTAGCTTTTGTATACTTATTTTAACACTGAAGTTCCGAAAACTTTTCACTGTAGAAAACTCTAAACCTGTGCATTTCAATATTAATTTGAAATTGCAAACCGTTCACATATTTTTCTTAATCACACTATTCTAAATTTCAGTTGTTGAGAAAAGTAACTGCTGTATTGCAAACAGTTCACATATTACTGCTCACTACGTGCTCTTGCGCGCCGAAGCCTATCAATTAAAACGTATTAGCGTTTTATATAACATGGATTAGCCATATGATGCTCACTACGTGCTCTTGCGCGCCGAATCCAATCAATTAAAAAGAAAAACTGCTGTCAGCGCGAGAAAAGAAATATCATCGGTTTTATTGATACATACATACGTATTAGCGTTTTATATAATATAGATAGATATATTTATTTTCATATTAAGATTTTTTTAAACAGCTCACACAAAAAATTAAATTTTTAATGTTCATTGCAAAAAAACTCTTATAGTTGCAAAATTGGTCAAGCTGTTGATTTTGGAAAATATAGCTGAAAAGGTTTGAAATTTGTTTGTGCATGCGATTAGTTACTGTTCGAAAAGTGAGATTTAAAAAACATTCTGTGCTTAAATTAATTTTAATTGATTTGGAAAAAAGCCGATATTCTACTTTTAAAAACCACCCTGCTGTATTATATAGTTACCTTGTTCGCAGGAAAGACCAGAATATCCTCGTAGGCATGCACATTTTCCTGGGCCGACGCAGATTCCGCCATTTTGACAATCAGGTTTACACATCACTACGTTTAAAGAAATAAACAGTCTTATTAATGTAGTGAAAAGCAATTTCAAAACACATTTTAATAATTGAACCTGATATAATTTTCTTGACATTTTTTACTTGTTTAAATTCTGTTATTGACAGTAATAATGAATAATGAATGACAGATGCAATAATGGCAGAGAAATAATGAGTAATGAATGACAGAAATAATGAATTTAGAAGAATTAAAATAAATGAATGAATTTAGAAGAAATTTAAGCAGAATTGCCATTTCAGAAATCATTTCATAAAAGCCTCAAATTTATGACCAATTCTTTGGGTAACTAACTAACATTCACGAAACAAAATAATAAGTATTTTGTAGCATATTACACAAAAATATATGCCTTAAAAAGATTTTTACTCATTTTGTTGTTGCTGCATATTTTAACTGAATCCAATGGTAATTTTTTTTACATTACCTTTTTAATGCAACGAAGTAGCTTCTCTATTAGGTATTTATAGTTTTTTGAAATACTTTTTCTAAGTTTAAAGTTAATTTTTGAAAACTGAAGATATTGTTCTCAGAACTANGGTTATTGTTATCTGGTTGCTCACTACGTGCTCTTGCGCGCCGAATCCAATCAATTAAAAATGAAAACTGTTGCCAGCGCGAGAAAAGAAATATCATCGGTTTTACTGATACATACATACGTACGTATTAGCGTTTTATATAATAAGATAGATTATTGTTAAAATTTCGGCATGATATTAAAGGTAAAATTAATTTTACTGATGCACCCAAAGCACTTTACCGTACTTTATACGAACGGTACTTTATACCGTAAATTGAGTAGTTTTTTTACAGCGCTGTTGTATAGCTGATAGTACATAAAGCAATATAAATTCAGTGCTCTAAAATGTTTAGCATCCAGCATTATTTTTCACATTATCATTGTAATTTCACACTTTCAGCTTTCATTGCTTTTAAGAAGCAAACCTAAAATATACAAATTAAGTAGTTGGAGTTAACGATTACTAAAATAATAAAGAAACAGATAGAAAGGCTTAACGGTAAAAGATCAGTTAGATCCTGAAAATAAAGAGGTTAATTATAGTAGCTGTGTGGAAAAATATACCATCTAATTAAAAGAATGTAGTTGAACGCATTGGTTCTTGAATTGGTTTTATTTCTAAAATTAATTTATGAGCCAAAGGATTTCGGCATGCAATTACCTATTTATTAGTTTATTTAATGCATATATTAGTTTTTTTTTTATGTATTTATTAGCTTCTGTTAAGTAATGTAAAAACGTTCGAAAAGATTCTGAAAGGTCAAATGATAATGTATGAGTATAAGGACAAAATTAAGAGCAAATAATGAAATATATGTTCACAAATTAAAAGAAAATAAGGATATAAGAAGACTAAATGTAAAACTTGAGATGAATATATTGAAGAGTTACGGTAAAATAAATTCAAATTCTTATTTTATTTAATTTTTTTTAAAGTTTTATTTTTGGGGAATTATTAAATTTATTTATTAAAACTTTTGAATTCTCTATCGGTAATAATTAAAAATCGGTAATAATACTCTATCGGTAATAATTCAAAATAAATAAATAGATAAATAAATAAATAAATAAATAAATTTATTGATGTAAAAAGTCTATAACAATTTGTTTATGTATTAAAATAAGAAGTTGTTTATTTTGGATAAGTTATAGTTGCTGACATTTAGTGAATACATTTAAAAAAAATATTTTTTTATTATGCACTCTATTGAAATTAGTGATCATAAAATCATGTTCAAAAAAATATGTTCTTTAAAAAAAAAAAAATAGTGAATTTCAGCAGAGTTAGTTAAAGCATCCGTTAATATTATATAGTTCTACAGTCATCAGTAAAGAACAATATCATGCAGGATATTCTGAGATTACCGTCTTTAATACATAGTTTTAGAATTCTTGTATAAAAGGTATACATATTAGATATCTCAAATCAATATTTTAGCGAAAAATATCGTTTTGGGCAAAATAAATAAATTTTAACAATATTTAAGTATTTTTTTGCCAAATATGGCCATTTACAGAAAATACGACGAACATATTTTATCAGGAAATAAAATTTAAAAAACAACGCTTTTCAAAAAATTTAAAAAACTCACTAAATATTCGTTTCTTTAATATTTTTGCTGGAAATATTGTGTTTGGAACAAAAGAAACATGTTTGAAAATATAAAATAATTATAGAAAAGCATGGGCTTTTTCAGAGAATACGACGCGCATATTTTATCATGAAATCAAATTTAAAATAATCGTGGTTTTCAAAAATTTTTGAAAATTTCCCAAACAGTCCATTTTATTGTTTCTTCAATATGAACGCTCGAAATATCATGCTTTTGAAAAATTAAAACCATTCTTTAAATATTTTTATACAAATATTGATATTTTCAGAAAATAATAGACTCATATTTTATCATAAAAGTTTTAAAAGAGTTGCTTAATAGTTTTTAAAAGTTTAAAAAGTGTAAATTCTCAAAATTTTCGTCAATTCCTTATGTGCACTGAAAATTTATTGTTTCGGACAAAATAAGACTATTTTTATATTTTGTTCTCTAACTATCTTTAGACAATTATGGATATTTTCAAAAAATGTGATGCAGATATTTTAACATGAAATTAGATTTAAAAAAGTGCCATTTAAAAAAAAATTGAAAAAAGTTCGCAAATTTTCCGTTTTATTGTTTCTTAAATATGAACGTTAGAAACATGGTGTTTTAATCAAATTAAAATGATTTTAGAACTGTTTGTTAATTATTTTTCGACAAATATTGGCCTCTTCAGAAAATATAACATGCATTATTTAACTTGAAACCAGTTTTGGACCAGTTTGAATCACGCTGCTCAAAAAATGCAAAAAAAAAAACAAAAAAAAAAAAAAATTGCAAAGTGTCGCGTTATTTTTTATATTTCCATATGTTCACTTTAAATTGCGTGTATCGGTCGAGTTAAATTTATTTTAAAGCATTTTTTAAAGTATTTTCAGACAAATATGGTCATTTTCAAAAAATATGACTCTCGTATTTTATCATGAAGTTAGTTTTACAAGTAGTATCGCGCTTTTCAAAAAAATTTTAAAAAATTCGCAATTTGTCCGTTCTAATGATTCTTTAATATACGGCGGAAATATCTTGTTTTGGACAAATTTAAAGTATTTTAGAACTGTTTTTGAACCAATATGGACATTTTCAGAAAGTATGAAACGCATATTTTAATTTGAAATCAGTTTTATAGGAATCACGCTTTTCAAAAAATTGGAAAAAATTCACGAAGTGTCCGTTCTTTTGATAATTCCATATGCGAGCTGGAAATTGCCTGTTTTGGACAAATTAAAACTGTTTTAAAATTATTCTTTAAGTATTTTTTGACAAATATAGGCTTTTACAGAGAATATGGCACACATATTTCATCATGGAATTAGTATTAAAGGAATCGAGCGTTTCATAAATATAAAAAAAAATTCTTACGGTGTCGGTTCTATAGTTTCTTCGTTATCTCCGCAGCAAATATCATGTTTTTGACGAAATAAATGAATTTGAACAACATTTTTCTAAGTAATTTTAGTCATTTAAGGAAATTTTTCGAGAATATGACACATTTATTTATATTAACATAAAACTAGTTTAAAGAGAATTGTTCTTTTCAAAAAATTTAAAATTCCGCAAAATGACCGCCATCTCGATAACTTTGCACCTTCACCAAAAATATCGTATTTCTGTCAAAATAAATCAATTTTAACAATTTTATTTAAGTATTTTTAGCTAAATATGGCCATTTGCGGAGAATACAGCGCGCATATTTTATCAGGAAATTAATTTTAAAAAATCGCGCTTTTCAAAAAAAATTCTCAAAGTGTCCGTTCTATTGTTTCCTCAATATTTTCCCTGGTAATATTTCGTCTTTATCAAAAGAAACATATTTGAAAATATAAAATAGTTATAGAAAAACATAGGTATTTTCAGAGAATACGACGTGAATATTTTATCATGAAATCAAGTTCAAAAGAATCGCGCTTTTCAAAAAATTTTTAAAATTTCGCAAGTTGTCCGTCCTGCATCGGTCAAATTAAATTTATTTTAAAACAATTTTTTAAGTATTTTCTGACAAATATGGGTAATTTCAAAAAATATGGCGCGCTTATTTTATCATGAAATTTGTTGTAAAAGAATCGCGTATTTCAAAAAAAGTGAAAAAATTCACAAATTGTCAACTCTATTGTTTCCTCAATATAAGCTGGAAGTATCTTGTTTTTTATTTCCCAAATTAAAAAGATTTTAAAAGTTTTTTTATTATTTTTGTAGAAATATGGGCAATTTCAGAAAATATGACGCCCATATTTTAACGTGTAGCCAGTTTTATAGGGATGACACTTCTTGAAAACTGTTCAGAATTCTCTGAAATTCGCCATGTATTCGAAGTTGATAATTCCGTATGTGAACTGGAAATTGCATATTTTGGTCAAATTAAAACTATTTTAAATTTACTCTTTAAGTGTTTTTAGAAAAATATGGGCATTTACAGAAAATATGACACTCATGTTTTAAATTGAAACCCTGTTTTGTACAAATCGAGCTTTCCAAAAGGGGAAAAAAAATCGCAGTATCCTTTTTTTTTTATCTTTCCATATGTTTACTGGATAAAAAGTTGTTTAGTGCGGTAATAACAGAACACCATGCACTTTAAATGTATGCGTTACACTTAAGAAAATACTTCAAAATGTTTCGGCAATTGTTTTTTTTTATGAAAAAAAATTCGAAAATATTTGCTATTGATATAATGAAAGGTTTAGAATATTTTTCCAATATAAATAAAATATCCTTACTTCCTTAGGATTTGTTGTTATGAAATCGTAGTACATCTCTTGTAAGTGACGACCCATTACATAATTTTGTAGCCGCCCTAGCTAAAAACAATAAAAAGTTACTTGCAACTTATAAAAATTTCAAATAACTGGAAATAATGTAAAATTATGTTCAATTTAAATAAAATAAATCCGCCAAAATGGTTAGATGTTGTTAATTGTTTTATCACAAAATCAAATAATTACATGGCGGAAAAAAATTTCTAGTTAAAATTCCATCCTTCATAGTAATGATATTTCTGTTAAATAAAGAAAACAACATAATTCAGGTTGATTCGACCCATTCATTTGGTAATTTTCCCGATCATATAGTTACGGTTTACTGGAAATTATGGTTTTCAAAATTTTCTATCTGATTACCACACTTTTTATAAAAAAATACAAAACTGAAAAATAAAATTAACCGAATAAATTATTTTTTTGCCATGTTTTAAGCTGTCATGGAACTAAGATGTCATAATAACAAGTAAAATTGTCAAGCTAGACACAGAGACCCAAGATACAATTTCAAGTCCATTAAACGACGAAAAATTCTGTAAAATTACTGTAATGCATCGCAATGATATTTCTAGTAAAAAAAAGAATTAAACAAACTAATTTTGATAATAAAACCATAGTATACGACATTTAAACCAGTCATTTGGTAATTTTGACATTCATATGATAACAGTTAAACAGGTTTTTAAAATCAAAGTTCTTATTACTTGACATTTAGTAAAAGATACAAAACAGAAAATAAAATTTAACCCAATGAATTTTTATGCCATGCTCTAAAGCATCATGCTAAAATTATAAATTTTTACTTCATTTACCAAATTTATCCATAACCATGCTTCACCAAACCATATTTTAATACTAATTTTACCAAAATCATTACCAAAGCTCTTTGACAAAAATTACCGAGCTTTCTGATGTTCCAATACAAACTGAAACTCGGTAGACTTTACCATATTCTGGTAGTTGTGACGGTACTTCCTAATTTTCGTTTTTCCTCTGGGCACTAGCAATATACCATTAATACCTATTGAGCTGACTTCAAAATTTTATGCTTCAGTTAATCTTAATAATTAGAACCACAAAATTGCCGTTCTAGTGAGGTTATCATCCTTAATTAATGCAAGATTTTGAGGCTTAATAAGATGAAAATTCGCTCATATTTATTATTTTTTTTTTTTTTAAATTGTAATACCCGAAGTAAAATTGTTAATAAATTATAAATCGGAAAATGCGATTATGTTAACAGCAGTAGATGTTTTTATTACAAATGTGGGGAAAAAAAGTAAATCAAGACAAGAATGAAAGAAATATTGAAAAATATGGCCGATTTCTTTCTTTTTCTCATGTAATTGTCAATGAAGAAAAACTTGATAAAGTATTTTCTCTCAGAGATTTGTTGACAAAGCATTAAACAATCCCTTGCACATTTTCTTATTTTTCATTTTGTATTGCTAAAAAAGATTTCTTAAAATAGTGAATGAGGATAACGTGTCTACCCTCAAAGCAGTGTTAAAGTTACAGTGAAATGTTTCTATAGTATTAACTCGTTATAAATATTTAATTTCTCTATCTTTAAAATGATTTCAGTTCCGGTTGTGGGGTACCAACGGTACATCATAAATCATTTGTACGCGCAAAAGCTTTCTAATATGTCTTACTCAAATATTCTATTGAAACACTTTAAATAGAAAACTGCTTTGTGAAACTTAATTCAGTAAATGTAAGAAATCTAGGAGGAAAATAAGGAAGGAAGGAGAAAAATAAAAGTTTTTTAAGGAAAATAAATGCGTTACCTTTGTTAAAGATTCATATCCTTCCTCCCAAACAAAGATATTGTATGGGTTCGATGGAAATGTTTGATATGGAGCACGATGACCATGCCTAAATATCTAAAACAAAGTCATGCAATAAAAGTTAAAAAATTTCTATCATTCAACAATTTTTGAATTTCTCAATTAAGCAAACACGATCAAGCAATTTTAATTACCTTCATCATATTATAATCACGTAAGTGCAGACCGCATTTTAGTTTTTCTATATTTTAATATATAGTCTAATTTTTAAGGAAAATTTTTTAAGGTAATTCTAATAAATAGGTAATTATGGTAATTAGCAGCAGGTAATTATGGTAATTAATTATACTGCAATTTGCCTGAATCTGCACGCTGCAAACATTCCGATTAAATAACGGTATAAATTGCTGGCACCCTGAGTGCAGCATCGGTAAAATCCAGATTGTTTTTGTAAAATCTATTTTTAACGTAAAATTTTAAACCGCAACTTTTACAGTGGTACTTATAACAGTTATTCAGTAAATATTACTGTAAAAAGTACAGTAATTCAGATTTTTTCGTGATGTAAAATTTTACGAGAAAATGAATTTTACGATAAAAAAAATACTGACACCCTTAGAGTCAGTACTTTTTACCGAATTTTGATCTGGTTTTATTTTACAGTGTATTTTAATGATCAAAGGTAGAGTTAAGTATGGATCTTTTTTTAACTGATGTTTGTGTCTTATATGATGATTATTATTTCACTATTGTTTTTTAAAAATGTTTATTTGTCAAAAGCGATGATGAACAATAAATGATAAATTGAATGATGAACAATAATGTTTTTAAAAAAAATACGTTAAATAGATTAAAAAGGAAAAAAATTATTACATAAATTTTTTTAAAACATTTTTTCACTAAAAGCAAAGGGCAATTAAGTTTTACAAGGCATGGGACCATTTTCTGTAGATTAAACACATGCAATTAAAATAATTATTTAACATTACAAAAAAATACTATAACTTGTAATGAATCCTTATAATAAATCCTTTTTAATATGCAATTAAAAAATCATTAAATATTTTACGTTTAAACAAATCCATAATTTAACGATTTGAATTATGTGGAAAGATTTTCTAGATCTTATTTCACCCAGAGAAAAAAAATGGTCAAACCTACCAGAATATGGTAACATTTGCCGTGTTTCTGGCTTTATGGGAACACAAAAAGCTCATTATTTTTTTCGAAGTGCTTTGGTAAAATTAACAATAAAATACGGTTTTATAATATGTTAAATTAAAGCAAATGTGGTAAAATTTAATAATATTATCATGATACTTTAAGCATGGCATAAAAACCATTTTTTCGGTTAAATTTACTTTTGAATTTTGTAATTTTTACTAAACGTGCTGTAATAATATTAAAATTTATCGTGTTTCTCTCTGGGACCACAAAAAAGCTTGGTAATGTTTACTGAAGCATTTTGGTTATGACTTTGCCCAAATGAGCATTAAAACATGGTTTAAAAGCATGTGAAATTTTTTTTAAATGTGTAATAATTTAGCAACTTTATCATGATACCTTTGAGCATGGCATAAATACCATTTATGCGGAAAAATTTACTTTTCAGCTCTGTATTTTTTAAAAAATGTTTGGTAATAAAAACTTTAACTTTGAGAGCCAGAACATCCGATAAACGGTTACAATATGAACGAAAAAATTGCCTAATGAATGATTTAAATACTGTATATTTTGGTTTTATCAATCAAAAAGATTTTTTTTTATAATCAGAAATGTCATTAACAAACAGTTAATTAACATACAGTCTGTAATTTTAAAAGATTTTTCTTCTCTGTGCGTGTTTGTATTATGCAATCACTATAGTTTTGTCTTATTTTTACCTTATATTTTTCTTCTAAACAGCTTTTTATAATTATTATATAATATTCGGGAATTTGATGCTTTCAAAAAGAGAAATGTTATATCAATAAACTAACATACGTTAAACTTAAATTTAATAAGGCTTAGGTTTCTTTGAGAATGTATAACGTATTAACCACAAATAAACGACTGAAAAACTACAATTTTTTACCATTTGTAGCAACACAATGCTTAGGTTTAGAATATGTAACGTATTAACCACAAATACACAATTAAAAAGCTAAAGTTTTTTACCATTTGTAGTAGTACAAGTTTTCTTTTTCCTCGTTCTTCTTCAAGCACGAATGGTTCCAGAAAAAGCGGTTGAAGCAAACTAGGTGAAACAATGAAAAAACTTTCGAGAATGTTCTTTAAGCTAAATACAAATATGAGAACTATGAAAATGAAGAATAAATCCTTATTAAGAATTCGCATTTTGGTTTAAAAATGCTAGGACGTTAAAAAAATTGCTACAATATTGACATTTTTTTTAATATTTTACTATATACCGAAATTACCATTTAAAACGAAGTTATTGCGAACTTTCAAGAAATAAAATCACTGGAAATGCGAAAAAATTCTAAAGTAAATATAGATGATTCGTTTTATTACGTTAATCAAAACATGTCGTGTTCGAAATCGACTTCTTGCTGACGCAATCTTCTCAAAATCACTGTATTTACACTTAAAATTGATACTTTTATGTGCGATTTTACTTTCTGATACAGGTACACTTAAATAAAGAGATATAACAGTAAATTTATTTTATCTTAAGCATTTCACGTTATGACTATTTGCGTTTCACACCACCGCTGTGACAGAATTTTTTCGAGCTGTCTGCGACAAAACTCTCTAGCTCTAATATCTTTCTGCATGATACTTTTAATAATAACAATAATAATAATAATAAACTTTAATAATAATAACAATATATGTTACTAATTTAAAGTAACAAAAGTGCTGTATTTTTAAAATAACTATATAATTTTTTTAATTGAACATGTAATAATTTTTTATTCTAATATTATGGGTAATATTCTAGTATTTTGTTGGGGGGAATGCACAAATTATTTCCTTCTTTTCGTTTTGTAAATAACCATCACAATAAAAAAAAATTTAAAAATCATAAAATCCGTAGTAGTAATTGCCGAAAAAATGATCGAAGACGAAATCACACAAATCGGACTCCTATAATGCGAGTTTCGTTTTGAGATTAGGTTGTTGTAATAAATAATATCGTATAAAAAATATCAGATTTAAAAATCATGGAGAAATCAATATCAATAACTGCTAAAAATTCAATAGAATTATTGCCTTAAAAAGTAAATACTTAAATGCAAGATTCGAATTTTCCATATTGTTTTAACTATATCGAGATATTTGAAATCCCCGTGAAAATCAATATCAATTACTTCCGAAAATACAATCGAAACATAACATCGATTCACGATACTATCGCGTAAATTTAGCGTGTCAAAAAGTAATTATGTGAATGCATGATTCAAATAGTACGTGCAAATTTCTGTAGAAGAGAAAACTAAATTTTTTGTTTACTTTTCAAAAGAAAAATTCTGTCGCCGTGTCGCTGCGATTCTGTCACGGTGCACACCTTTATATGATGCGTAGCGTTTTCAATAGCGTTTTAAATATTATTTTTTAAAAAAATCTTTGTTCGATTTCTAGAGCATAGCATTTTTATTTTTTTTAAATCGAAATAATTTTTCGTGTTATTCTTAATAAAGAAATATTTAGATGATAAAATACAGACTCAGTAAAGATTTTACAAACTACACAGATTAAAAAAGTAGGTCAAAACTACCAGAATACGGTAAAAAGTATCTTCTTTCGGTCTCCATGGGAACATCAAAAAGCTCGATAACTTTCACCGAAGTGCTTTGGTAATGATTTTTTGAAAATAACAATAAAATGTGCTTTTATAATATATTATAAAATTTAGACAAATGTGATAAAATTTAGTAATTTTATCATGATGCTTTTAGCATGTCATACAAACCATTTATTCGATTAAATTTACTTTTGAATTTTGCAATTTCTACTAAATGTGATGAGATAAGAATTATAATTTTGAAATGCAGAATTTCTAGAAAAAGGTAACCACTAGAACGCAAAAGTTACCAAAAGAATGGTTTAAATACAGCAAATTTTGGTTTTATTAACCTGATTTATTGATTGCAATTTAACCAGGTTGCAATTTTTACTAAACGTACGGTAATAGGAACTATAATTTTGAAATGGAGAATTTCTAGTAAGTCGTTACCACTAGAACGCAAAAACTGCCAAAAGAATGGTTTAAATACAGTAAATTTTGGTATATTAACCCGATTTATTGATTGCAAATTAACCAGGTTGTAATTTTTACTAAATTTGCGGTAATAAGAATAATTTTGAAATCCAGAATTTCTAGTAATTCGCTGCCATAAGGACAGAAAAGTTACCAAACGAATGGCTCAAATACCCTAAACTTTGGTTTTATTAAGCAGATATTTTTAAACCAGAAATGTCATTAAATGTCTTCATTTTTTATTGTAAAATTTTTTAATGTATTGCAAAAAATTATAAATAAGTAAAAATAAATAAACTGTTAAAGTATCCTTTTATATGTTTAAACTCCATGTTATTGCAAAGATTCTTACCACTCTTGGTTGTCCCTACCATCAAGAAGAGAAGGAAGAATTGAAGTTTTAAATTTAACGATACTAATAAAATAAAAAAAAACATTTTGTTAGATTTCTAAAATATTTTCTTGAACTTATAAGATGTTTTACATAGCGTCTTGATAAAATGTCTCCAGGAGACAAAATAAGATAGTTACCGTAATTTTATGATTTTTAATCGATTATAAGTAAAAGACTTAGAATTAGAAGTTAAGTAGCATATTTAACTTATTTAATTTTATCTAGCAATACTACAACGTTGGACAAGAAATAGGTTTCAACGTTTAATTCAGTTCATTTTACTTAAACTTAAATAAGTAATTCGTTTTTAATTGAATCCGGGAACCTTTGTGTTTACAAATTATTTATTTTACTGTTGATTATGAACTACCTTTGTGGTTACAAGCTAATATTATTTATTTTACACAATGTTATCAATTATTATCTATTTTAAAAAATCTATTTTAAAAGCAATGTTATCTGTTTTTAAAAATCTGCTGTAGTTTTGGATTTTCAACTTAACATTACATTTTGTATTGCTTTGCAAAGACAGAAAATTACTAAAATGTGAAAAAGATGGCACGGGGAGCATAAGGGATAAGAAGTAATCAACATTCGAAAATGTGTTCAAGAATTATCAACTGTTAAACTTGCAGAGACAAAATATAATGCAAATCGATTTTCTACCATGTGAAGTACAACTACAGAGTTAAAATTTGACGTATTGAAGGTTCATTTTCATTTAAGAATCAACGCGCACTTTTTATTCGAATTTATAATTCATACAAAAGTTATTTCAATTTTAAAAGTTTTTTTGTAATTTTATTTTCACTTGAAAAAAGTTTTCTTTCATGTTTATTTATACATTACTGTAGAAATATTTATTTTGCTCTCTTGAGTTCTTAATTTTATAATTATATTAATTTTGTAATTATATAATCACGCTTAACTTGAAGTTAAAATTAATTCAAAAGCAATAAATAAAATAAAAAATAACACAAAGAGATTAAATTTTGCCTAACATAAATCTTAACATTTATATTAATTTTTAAAAATTATTAAAGAGAGATCAAAAGAGATAAGAACCAATTGGAAATGTTATACAATATAAGGTAATTGTTATATATGGTCAAAAAGTAAAATTACTTCTCATTTAATACTTCTTACTGTGTTACACAATCTGTACTCCTATATTAATATTTTTTTCAAGAGCAGTCAATCATTTTTTAAATCTAAATAATCGCTCATATTGTTATCATTAACCTACTAACAGAACGTCCTTACATAAAATTAGAATTATTATATATTTAAAACACAAAATAAACTTTTTTATTATTTTCTTCAAGCACAATTGATTATTTTTCAAATTCACGTATATGTACATTTTGTTACGAATAACCTATTAACAAAATATCATTATACAAAATTATAATTATTACATATATTATCACGAAAATAGTCTTTTTTTATCAAGCACAGTTGATTATTTTTCAAATTCAAGTAAATGTTTAATTTGTTGCGATTATGCTGTTAACAAAATATCCTTATACAAAATTATAATTATTACATATTTTATCACGAAAATAGTCTTTTTTTTTTCAAGCACAGTTGATTATTTTTCAAATCCAAGTAAATGTTTAATTTGTTGCGATTATGCTGTTAACAAAATATCCTTATACAAAATTATAATTATTACATATTTTATCACGAAAATAGTCTTTTTTTATCAAGCACAGTTGATTATTTTTCAAATCCAAGTAAATGTTTAATTGGTTGCGATTATGCTATTAACAAAATATCCTCTTACAAAATTATAATTATTACATATTTTATCACGAAAATAGTCTTTTTTTATCAAGCACAGTTGATTATTTTTCGAATCCAAGTAAATGTTTATTTAGTTGCGATTGTACTGCTAACAAAATGTCTTTTTATAAAATTCCAATTATTTTATATTTTATCAACAAAATAACTTTTTTTATTATTTTTTTCAAGCACAGTTGATTGTTTTCAATCAACTGTGCTTGACACAGTTGATTGTTTATTTTTTTCAAGCACAGTTGAATCCAAGTAAATCATTTTTTTACGATTAGCGTATTAACAAAATGCCCTTATATGAAATTATAATTATAACATATTTTATCAACAGAATAATACATGTGTATTTAAAACTAACAATGAAAAAGTTAAAAAGAAGTAACTAACTATTTTATTGATAAATAAAAAGTAATCACAATCACATTAACAATAATGATATTTTGTAGAGCTACTGAAACAAGTGATGATGCTGATGATGATCCAAACTGAAGTCCGAACTGCAAAAAAAAGTACAATAATATACATAATTCTGTACACTTGAGTAGCATAAACTAATTTTTAAATGTTCTATTTAAAGACAGTAAAAGTGACGGATGGACAGTAAAAGTGACGGATGGATAAGTTTAAGCATCACTTTCGAATCATTCATTGAATGGGCTAATTCATTCGAATGGGCTAAAATTTAATCACTTATATTTACTTGTATACTACTTGAAAATTGCTTTTTATTAGCTTACTACTTTAGGCAAATAACTGAACATTCCATAACTTTTTGTTTAGGTTCACCTTTATTACAACCTTTTAATAACCCGGATTGGCAGCTGAGAAATATTTTTGTTTCATTCATTTTTTCTCTTAAAATATTATCACAGATATCTTACTAATATTATAAATATAATTTTTTGACCATGGGATTCATAAAGTTTTTTTTGAACATTGATAAATTTTAAAAATGATTGCTACCTTAACATTTAAAATTACGTAACTAGGTTCAATAGATTGCATTTTAAAAGAAGAAATCAAAACAAAAAATATTGAAAATTATAAGTGATTTGCCCAAATGGTTTTGCGTTCATATAATTTTTCAGTAATTTAACTATGGAATCCCTGAGTGAAAATAATTTTTAATCGAATTATTATTAATTTATTCTTTATTTAACGCTATTAAATATAACAGATATTCGTTCTCTTTGTCTAGAAACCCATAGTGTTTTCTAAAAATGGATAGATTTTCATTATTTTGCATTAATAGTTTTGCATTCTTTTCAATTATGTTCAATAAGAAAATACTCAATAATTTATATGATAAAAAGGTATTTGTATTGATTAAAACTTCCCCCTTTCCATGAAAGTAATAATTGAGATATACTTTATTTTAAGTTCATTAAAATTATTAAATAATGACAATTAAAAGATAAATTCTGGAGTTTATGAAATTTATCCGTTGCTTGCTTGTGTCCAAAAATATATTAAACTTCGGGATGTTCAAAGCTTTTTCAGAATAATCAATTAACTAAATAATACTGAAAGGAATATTCTAATGTTTTTAGAATAAAAAATATTAACTTTGTCGGAAAGGTAACAGAGTTTATTTATTATTGATCTAGTTTGTATATCGTCATTATAATTGATGTATATCTTTACCTATACCGTCAGTCAAGCGGATTTTGATGCATCAGCCCAAAGTTTCTCAGTAGAGTTTCTCTAAATCTTGGACAGAATTTTATTTTTTCTCATTTAGAAACTTTACATTTGTTACATCTGTTGCGCATACGCTTAAATCTTTAACTTAAAATAATAATAATAATAATAATAAAGTGTATATTAAGAACGATGATTGAGTAATATTCTTGCAAGACGCGCTCCATGAAAAGTGTTAGAATATTGCTTGTAAGTAATTTTTTAGAGAATTTATATTTTAATTATATTTTAAATAACTCTATTTCAAGATTTATATTTAATTGTTTCGCATTTTACAACTGAAAGTTATAGTGAAAGTTTTATTGCAAGTGATTTCATAATTATTTGCTTTCCAAAACTCAAACTTTTTTAATTACTAAAATCCAAAATTGGGTGGATCCTAGAAAAACTCACCCCGTAACGATTTTTTTAAATCTTGCCAAGTGACTTTTTGAAATCTCGCCAAACTAGGTTTCGGGGAGATATGATGCAACCCTTCAGAGCGTCTATTTTGAAGTTATTTTTTATTTTATTTCATTAAAAAAATGTTTTAGTAAATTTGAAAAAATTTAAATAGTTTTTTTTTGTTAATAATAAAAAAGAAACAACATTGGTCCAAGTAATAATCGCCAACTTGTCGAGATCTTAAGAAGTCGCCAAGGGGGGGGGGGAGCTATTCTAAGATACCCCCAAATTTTCCGCAATCATGTAACACCCTAAAAAGTTGATATTTAAACTTATATAAACTAATATTACTCACGTAAGGTAGATTAGCTACAAAATCAAGTTCTTTCAAGGCTATGGGTACTTCATAATTGCATTCGCTTTCCCAGTCAACTGGTATAAAATCTTTTATTCTGTTGATTAAATTTTCTACTGAGCAGAATTCTCCTCCACAATCGTCAAAGTGCAAAGGGACTGGTGGATCGATGTGTCTCTCTGGATGGGAAGAGTTAAACAAGAGCCAACGGACTGAGTATCTGTTTTTTCTTTCTTTCCAGAGCTCTGTCACTAAAACAGAACCAGTTGGTGTTTCCAAGAAATTAAACCGATTCAAGCTGAACAATATCAAGTTAATTGTGCTTCCATGCTGTAAGAGGTAATATTTATTTCAGTGTGGAAAACATAAAATGCTGATAAAAATTCTAGAGATTGTTGAATTAATATATCGTTCAATTTTAATATGGGGCTAAGTTGAACCATCTATATTATATAAAACGCTAATACGTACGTATGTATGTATCAATAAAACCGATGATATTTCTTTTCTCGCGCTGGCAACAGTTTTCATTTTTAATTGATTGCATTCGGCGCGCAAGAGCACGTAGTGAGCAACCAGATAACAATAACCAGAGTGAGCATTATCAGATTGTTCAATTCAGATTCATGCGCTAAAATCATGACAATATTTAATTTAAACTCAATTAGGAATTAATTAATTAATTGAAGGGAAAATGCTTTAAAAGGCCGCTGTTGAATTGATATTTTTCTAATGGAAGCTACCTAAACGTCTAAAAAACGTTTAAGTGTTTGCATTGAATTTTCACGCTTTAAAATGCAGAATATTAGTGAAGCAATATTTGATAATTTATTTTGCTAATATGTTTCTTATTTAGCTAATGTTTTGATTTTTTCACCATGTACAATCTAAATTAATATACTTTTTTAAAAGCCAATAAGAACATTGGTAGAATTCTTCTACATAAGTACAATACTATGTCTTTGATGATAAAATACTATGTCTTTGATGATAATATATTATGTCTTTGTGCTAGAACATTGTGCTTATTGGCGAGCGAGCGCAGCGAGCCATGGTTCACGGCGTGAACCACATAGGATTGCGTAGCAATTCTCGGGGGTTGGCGAGCGTTAGCGAGCAGGGGGCGGAGCCTCCTAGTGTTATTGTATTTGTTAAATTCTGATATACGATACTATGATTTAACTTGAACAGGAATGTTTAATATAATATTTTATTGAGGTTTCGCCATTTGGCCAATTCTCACCATTTTGTGATTCAGGGTACTTACATAGTAATTCCGCGTTGACAATCAGTACAAGTTATATAATTTATGAAACTATAATATATATTCTGAAATTGCTGAACTATAATATCGTTCATACCTGATATGGTGCGAAGTTGAATCATGTTATCGTACTTGTTTAAGTTTGATACACGATATTTATGATTTAACTTAAACATAAATGTTTAATATTTTATTGAGGTTCCTGCATTCAGCAAATTTGCACCGTTATTTGATTCAGAGTACTTATATAAAAATTCTATTTTGCCAATCAATACAAGTTATATAATTTATGTTAAGCTGTATGCTATAAGACAACTCTAATTATAATTTGAAAAATTATTGTAAAATTCTTTAATTCGATTCTAATACTGGTGTTATTTGGAATTATAATAACTAATTATTTCGTTACAGATACACGGAGAAAAAAAGTCTGATAAAATTATCCTACTACAAGGTAATGCAATTCTGGTTAAAAATGATAATTTTGGTTAATGAAACCAAAATATATGTAACTTGTAACTTAAACTACTCATTTGGTAAATTTAATGATTTACCGGAAATTCTGGTTTGTAAAATTATAGTTTTTATTTTCATACGTTTGGTAAAAAATACAAAACTGAAAAGTAAATTTAACGAAATAAATGGTTTTTATGCACAAAATTTCATTTCACCGTGCACAAAAATTTAATGATTCACAATTACCAACTTTTATCATATTGACCATTTTCACTAGCAGACATTTTTAATGTATTTACATAATAATAATTTAAAATACTTTTATATTCTTTTTATTATTAACGTATAATTACTGCCTTGACGGTGATTTCAATATAAATATGAATGCTGAAGAGAAAAAAGTGTTTTGTGACGTCTTGAAACATGTACATAGGCAGAATTTGAAAACCAATCCGACGACAAACATTAATTATGACAGTTTTTGCAACTCATGATCTGAAATGTTGTGAAGGAGTCAATCCAGAAAGAAAAATCGTTTGACCAATGTGTAATCGTAATAAGGCGATCACAACTTTTTTTATTTTTTTAATTATATTTTAAGTTTAATACGTGCTATGAACCCTTGTTTTAGTTTTTTTTTAATTATCAGCTAAAAGCCGCATATATTTAATTGGGTCGATGACATCATTTTGTAGAGAAAATAAATTCTCTTTGAATGATATATTTTGCTACACTTTTTTTGACTATTGATGATTTTTTTCAATTTTATTATGTATTTAATAAATACAATGATATACATTGCCACTTATAACGTTTATATAATTTTCACATGCACAAATACGTATTTTGGGATTTATGAAGAGGATTTAATTAAAAAATTATCTACAATATACTTACTCCCGAATAAACAATTACTCGTGTGTCTACATCTTCTTTATTTATCCTCCTTTCAATGTTACCGATCATGTGTTTCAACAAATTACCTAAAAATGTATTCATTTTGTTACAATGTGACACAAAATAATAATTAAAATAGTAAACCTGAAAGAGATAACAAGGCTCTACCCAAGAAAATCTGGTATGAAAACTTTACTAAATAAACGAGATGAAATAAAGGACAAAATAAGAAAAAAATATGATGCAGAGTAAGGAGTCCCAAAATAGTAAGTGCGCCAAAAACAACACATGTGCGCCAAGTTATATCATTAAACTTTAATGATTAAAAATATCTTGAATACAATTAAACAACATTCTAGAATACTAATGGGGAGAGAAGCTAAGATCACTCACCAGGGCGTCATCTCTATTCTTTCTTAATCACCTTCCAACTCCAAGGCAACGCTTCCACTGATTCCTAAAAAGATGCAACCCCTACAGCAAGAGGGAACTTCGCCAAACTCACCCTTTGGCTCACTTTATCGATGTTTTTGGCGCACTTACTATTTTGGGACTCCTTGCTCTGCACCAGTATGTATCAAATTTTTTGAATTCTGAAATTCCAAATGACTGTAGAACATCGAATCATTTAAATCTAAACACCTTTTAAAAAAGCAAGCCTGATGATAATTACTTAAGTGGTATTTATTTTATTATGAAAACAAGCACACAATTTGAAAACAGAATTAAACTAATTTAGGGCTAAAAAATTATTTAATTTGCATTTTAGAATTTTTAATATTAAGAAGAATATTTAACATTTTAAAAATGAAAATAAATTTACCAATCTTTTAAAAAAAGATGAGGGGTTTAAAATATCGATCTTCAGCTGTATACACAGCTAGCATAATAAAATATAATATCAAAAGAGTAACTAATGGAATCAATCCGCAAGATTATCCAAAACTCTTCAGTGTAATCCTGGCATATGCACTATCTAATATATATATATATATATATATTTGTATAAATGATTTTCTCAAAACGTAAACTTTTTGAGAAACTTGAAGGGAATAAAAACAACAATTTTGAACATTTTATCTCATGATTATCTTAATATTAATAATTTTTACATTAAGACCATACATTTAAGTATACAAATCAATGTCCAGCAATGAAAAACTTTAAAAATTAAAATTTTATGACANTAAACATTTGACACCTCTTTGAATAACAGCATTTCAATTATTTTCATGTAAATGCTATTGATCAAATATTTCGGAAAATGTATTATTAGTTTGAAGGAAGATTTTTTATGCGATATAAACTATATATTTTTTTTAAATTATAAATTGTAATTTTTAGCGAAATAAAAATATCGTATTAACAACCTCTTTATATTTTTCATTCAGGAGCACAATGAAGTACTATATGTGGTATCTTGCTAGCAGGCATTCTTAAACATTTGACACCTCTTTGAATAACAGCATTTCAATTATTTTCATGTAAATGCTATTGATCAAATATTTCGGAAAATGTATTATTAGTTTGAAGGAAGATTTTTTATGCGATATAAACTATATATTTTTTTTAAATTATAAATTGTAATTTTTAGCGAAATAAAAATATCGTATTAACAACCTCTTTATATTTTTCATTCAGGAGCACAATGAAGTACTATATGTGGTATCTTGCTAGCAGGCATTCTTAAACATTTGACACCTCTTTGAATAACAGCATTTCAATTATTTTCATGTAAATGCTATTGATCAAATATTTCGGAAAATGTATTATTAGTTTGAAGGAAGATTTTTTATGCGATATAAACTATATTTTTTTTAAATTATAAATTGTAATTTTTAGCGAAATAAAAATATCGTATTAACAAAAAAAAAATTCTGAAAAACTCAGTGTCTACAAGAAAAACCAAATTAGAAATAAACTTCAGTATTTATAAACAAATAAGACACTACAATCAAAAAAAATTTTATACTTTTATTTCTGCCTTCAGTGAGATTGATCTCAACAATGTTTTATGAGATTCAATTACTTTTTTTCTTCTTAAATATGTCCTTTTCTACCACTAGTAAAGTGCAAATTTTTTACCAGCATTTAAAAAACGTACATTAAGGGTGGTGATAGCAAAAAACCTTCTATAACTATTAAAGCATAAATATATATATTTATGAAAAGGTGAGTTTTTCGACATAGATTGAATGGAACAAATAAATAGGTTAAAATGCATTTGCTTAGATAGTAAAGTGAAGTGCGGGTTTTATCTCTTCTGTTTTCGCTAATTCACTTCTTAATCGATCTTGCTACAAATATTGAGTTCTAGTTTGCCTTTTTGCTATAAAATATTGCTCTCAATGCATGTTATAAAGATTATGTATTTTATATTTATAAAGAAATTCATGTTCACATTATTTATTTTTTAAGTTAATTTTTTAAGTGAACTCTAAAAATATTTTATATTACTAATACTCAGATTTTTTTTAATACCTGAAATAATATTATAGATTTATTTAATTTAGTAAAATAAAAAATATACAGAAAAGATGATAACACAAGTAAAATATGAAAAAATGCACAACGATAAAAATATGTAAACAGCTATACAATGAAAAATAACAAAAATATACAGTACCAAAAAAAATAACTTAACAATGCAAAGAAACAATACAATATCATATAAAACTGTAAGGGATTAGGAACTTCTTTAAACACTCCAATATTTCGTTTAAATTTTATTTACATATATAACATATTTATTTTTTTTTTATTTAAATATTTAAACGAATGTTCAATTTTTATTTTTATGTTATTGAACTAAATCTCATATTACATGTTTTTCGTTACAAATTGTAAAAAAAATTTTTTTTAAATAATATGAAGTTTGATAATTAAAATTAACATTGGTAGGGAAAATAAATATCTCTAATACTAGGACACATCTTGCGACGGTAAAAATAAAAAAGTATATATATATATAATGATAACATAAAGATAAATAATACATCCTAAAGCGAATTATAAAAGAAAAGTATTTAAGTATTTTTAAGTTCATAAACAAAGTGAATTTTTAAAAAAAATGTTGCTGAACATATGTTCTACATTACCTACTCTAAATCTGAGCAGAATTTTTGTCGCATATAAGAAATAATAGTTAAGTACAATCTGATATTGCAGCTCTTCCCAATACAGCCGTGCCCATATAGGCGATGTTAAATTGTAAGCTTCCTAAAAAATGAAACGAAAAAAAAAAAAGATTTTATTTTTATTTAAATGGATGTAGAATTTTTAAATAAATGTTCATTACAATAATCTACAACATTGTAATAAATAGCAATAAACAAATTTTTATTACCATAATTTACAATTACGATATTGTTCTTAAAAATAGGCTAACTTTGTAAAATATATCACAGAAATTATTCAAGCAATGAAGAAACATTCATGATTGTGAATTTTAAAACTTATTATTTTGTATTTGTTAAAGTACTTCAATTTAGATACATGCACAAGAGCGGGTTAATTCCATCAAAAACTATTGGACAAGAATCATAAATTTAGGATTCATGTATACAATATTTCTTGAAATAAAATTAGTTTTTTAATCTAACATATACACAGTATAGACAGAATATTAATATGAATTTGAACTTAACCAACCAACAGTTAAATACTAAAAAATTATTTTACAAAATTGACAGATAAATGAAATCTTATGAGATAATGAACATCTTTATTCAACTAAAAACATGTATGCATTTTAAAACAGATTATATGAGCAGTTTGTCAAATCTATCCGACAAGAAAATTGCACTTAAAACACTTCCTTCCATCATTTCACACAAGAATTTCGTAAAATAATTTACATTTACAAGAAATATTCACCAAATTTACTGAGCTCGGAAAAACACTACCTTCTTCACCAACGAGCTGCGCACTGTTAGAATTTTCAATCTAAAATTATGGTTAAGTAACCGGCAGCAATCTGTCTATCAGATTAACCGTAAAGGTACGGTAAAGAACATTTTTTACCTTTAAGATTTCTGAAAATGCCTACAACTAATGTGGTTAAAAATCCATGAATACAAAACTATGCTGTTTTTTAACCATTTACAGCGAGCATGTTCTCGAAACCGTAAGATAATTTAACTGGACTTAGGAGTTAGGCTTTTTGTTAGGTATTGGAAATAGGAGTTAGGTTGTGACTGAGCTGTGCTTTATTAAAACCGTGGAATGTGGTTTAATTACTTTATCTGGTTGTTTCACCTATCGTAAGAGATGGAAAATACTAGAATTTTTTTGTTAAGCAGCTTTACTGGATTGTCATCTACGCATAAATGAGAGTATCGTATTCTAAAATCCCAGGGTTACAAATTGGGGAGTGCAGGATACTGAAAACTCTTTATGTGTTGAGGGGAATGAGGAAAATAATATGGTATCAACACTGGGACTCGAACCCACGATTTGTGTGTCCTGAGATTGACGGGTCAGTTCTCTCGACTATAATATAAACCCAGCTGCAAGAAGTGGCTTTATTAGGTGGGCCTAGTTGGTGTAGAAGAATTCAAGTTGTTTAACCTTATTAGGTGATAACAGGTTAATGACCAGTTTTCTCACAGTAAACAGTTTGAATACAATTTTATTTATGGTTATCTGACTGTCTCATTTGAAGCTGGTAAAATAGCAATTAAATAAATTGATATCAAACTATTCTTTTCGGAAAAATTTTCAACAGTGCAGATTGCAAGCTTTATCAATTTATCAGTATTTAGATTTAACTACACCCTTTGAAGTGAGTAAGAAGGCTCGATTTGTTGCTGACTTAAAAAATGAAGTAATCATTCTCGCTATTTTCAGAGTTTTTCATCACTAAATTCAGATTTTACAGAAGTGTAAAGATAGACACCTCTGAGTACCTTCAGTTTAATTTTAACCACTATGTGTTTATTTGTATTACCTGTGACATCAAGGTTTTTGCTATATGAGATCCACCAAAACAATTTTCAACATGTCCTCCAGCATGAAAAGATAAATATCTGTAGAAATGCTACATGAAATAAATATGAATTCAATCTTATTAATTGTTGAAATAATCTTTTTGATCTTTTTTTTTTTAAAAAAAAAGAGTAAAAAATACTCACTGAAAAGCGTTCTTTAGTTTCGTTAAATATTTTAGAAGCATGTAAAGCGTCTCTCTCTTCGTCACCCCGGCTGCATTGAGCTCTCGCAAAAATTGTCTGAAATTAATAAATTAAACTTAAAGATAAATTGTGAATAAATATGTAAAAATTTTAAAATAAAAAATATGCCGTAAATTGCCATAAGTATAAGAAAATCGATCTTAAACTTCAAATGCAAAGTGTTTTTAAAAATAGCACTAGATGTAATTTTGAAAAAACATAATACTTTCTAATTAATTAATTAAAATTTAGGCACTTCTGATTAATTATTAAAGCGTCCTACTTAATGCGAAGTCAAGGTTACTGTCACGAAAGCTGTCATATTTATCGAAATTTTCTGTTATTTTATTGCATAAATGTGGCTGAATTTCATTGATTCGGCACTCAATTTAATCTTTTAAAGCACCAGGTTGTTGGCATGATTGCAAAGCTTCATAAAAATCTCGAAGAAAAAAATTCGTCGGCGTTAAATTGTAAGATCTTGGGGTAATTTAGATCACCAAAGGGAAAAATCATATGACCAGGATATGAGAGAAAAAGGGAAGAAAGGAAAAAGTTTAACATATTATTCTTGAATAAAAACGCTTTGTTCTCTTGTAACTTCCTGTTGACACCAAACTATCAGCTATCATTTTTTTTTGTATGAAAGTATTATTCTTTAGCAAAATTCAAATTTTTTCCATATTTCGTCACCATTTATATATTATTTTTGAATACTTTTTGGCAAGTGATAACTCATAACTTCCTACAAAATGAGGAAAAGCACTTGCTTTACAAGGAGAAAAATTTGAGCAAAGTGGAGAATTTAAGCGATTTTGTTACACTAAAAAATGTTTAGACTGAAAAAAAAATACCATAGCAAGCATTTTTGCAAAAATTTTTTTTTAAGCAAATCTCTTTTTTCTTGTAGATAGTATAAGCAATTCTGGATAGAATTACGGTATTAAGTACTGGTACTTTGGGTGGTGCATCATCGATAAAAACCATTTACTGTAAAAATCATGTTTACCATAAAGTATTATACCGTAATTTCTACGGTATATAAGATTTTTTGTTCTGTAAGATGTTCCGGTAAAAATTTGTTTTTTACAGTAAGAAATACCGGCACCCTGATTGTTTGTAATTTTTACCTTAATTTTATTTTTATTGAGTAAGCCTCGCTGAATTTGACTACAGCATAAAAATGAGACACTTTTGTGGTTACTTGTGAGAATATTTGGAAAAGGTTATTTCTCAGTTTATACACATAGCTATGGTCATATCAATTTCATCGCAATTGAATTAGAAATCAAATATACTGGATTGGTAACTACACTGTAAAAACTTACAGCAAAAGGTACCAACACTCAAAGTAACGGCGCTTTTCATCGTAAAATCAATTTTTACGGTAAAATTTTACGGAAATAAAATATATCATAATTTTTACAGTAGTATTTAATGTAAAATAGCTGAATAACTGTAATTAAGAAATATTACTGAAAATCACTGAATAATTGTATTTAAATAAATATTACTGTAAAATTACTGTACTAAATTTTATGGTAAAATTGCACTGAGAAAAAAGTATGATCAAAACTATTATAATATCGTACAATTTACCATATTTCTGGCTACAGGGCACCAGTACCTTTTACCGTAATTTGATTTGGAATTTTTTACAGTTTAAGTTCCTGTCATTCTTCAAAATTTTTCTTTAGAGAGTTTAATGAGTGGGCGCATTCCATTTTCTTTGCAAGTTCCCTTATTGTTTGATGTGAATTTTCGTGCAAAAGTTCGCTTAATCATACAGGCAGAACTAAGTGCATCTTTATAAACAAAATTTCCATTTTAAACTTAGAATACCAACCTCAAATGGTTCTTTCTGGTATGGTAACTTCTCCATACGCACGAGCAGCTTTTGCGGTTTTAGAGCCTTGATTGAAAGCAGAAAGAAAAAAGTAATGACAATGCTTAATGGTATACTTAACTTGGTATACTATTTTATTAGTCTGATGACTAACATAAACTAATTCGAAAAAAAAAGCGTAAATTCAGGTCTAACAAATCATCTTTTTTTGAATAATCTAAGACAAGATGCCAGAAAATGACATGCGAAAAGTTAAATTTTCAAAAAAAAAGGGCTTTAACTTAGTTGCTAACCCAATACGTTTGGAAGGTTTTTAGTAAGACATTCGAAATTCCTTTTAAATTCTTTCTAGTTTTTATGTAAAACATTACCTACAACATATTCTGAGGTTATTGTAGTGATAGGTTGCCATAACAGCTCATCTGTGAATTGATATTCTTTTTTAGGTGCATATAAGCCAGTCATAAACGCATATGAACCATACAAAGATCGGGCTGCCTCCGATGTAAAAACTTGAACCTGAGGAAACAAATAACATACAATTTATGAGAATTTTATTGCTAAGAAACTTCTATAGTGAGTCACGCAATTATTTCATATTTATCAAGATCGGGGGTGTTAACAAATCTCAAACAAAATAATATTCATTTAAAAAAAAGGAACTGTTTAAAAAAATGTAATTCATTGCAGTGCGATATTTTCATGAAAGTATTTAAGGAAAGAGAATAAGCAATCCAAAGAATAAATTTAAAAAATAGTGATAATTCCATATAAAAAACCGGGTCAACTTCAAACAGCTTAGTACTGAAGTTAATCCATCGAAGAAAAAAAAACTTCGAATATTATTATGTATATTTCCTGCATTTTAAAAAAATTCCGGATCAAATTATGGTATTAAGTACCGGCACTTTGGGTGTTCCAACTGTAAAACCTATTTTTACTTTAAAATACTATACAGAAATTCTTACTGTAAAATTTATTTAATTAAAAGTGATTCAGTGATTTTATGGCAATTATTACTGAAAAAACTACGGTATGACAGATTTTTTTTGTTCCGTAACATTTTCTGGTAAAAATGAATTTTACGGTAAAAAAGTACCGGCATCCTGACCACAGGTACATTTTTTTAAATTTTATTTAATAACGGTCGTAGAGCAATTTACCCAATATTTGGACTCACGATTACCGATGATCAACTCCGTATCCCTGTAACTTTGAACCCAATCCAGAAGACAAGGGTCCTGTATCAAGTATTGGGAGAAATTTGCCTCCGTGGAGGACTTTTTGATGCAACTAACTCGCATTTTTGTTATATGGAGAGAAAAACCACTAACCTAACACAGTTAGTCTGACGGCAACGGGACTCTAACCCATGATCCCTCTACCACTGAGGATATTTTACGTCAGCCCTGCTGTACGAGCGAGCCGGGTGCTGAATTCGTCTCGCCAAGCCATCGCTGGGGTCGAACCTGGGTCAGCTCACTGGGAAGAGAGCGCGCTATACCCTGAGCCAGTACTGCTGATGGCATTTTTTACCATAATTTGATCCGGAATTATATTTACAATGTGCGATTGTTTTGGCGCTATAATACTTTCTCCAGAGACTAAACCCAGAATCAACGCCAAAATCGTATTTTAGTACTAAAAAGCTATTGAGACATGTTAGTTTATCGAACATTATTTGTGATTACTCACATTTTTAAAAAACTATTTTTAGTGAAATGTCTGTTCTCAGAAAAATATTTTGTTGTCTTGACAAATTTATTATTATTCAGTAAAATTTATATGCAGTGTAAAATGCACTTCTTTATGCAATAAAATAATTCAAATCTTTAAACAAAACATCTACATTTTTCAATATGTTAGATGCATTTCTATTCTTTCAATTTATAAAAAAATTCTATAAATATTTTTTGAAAGATATGGCGTAATCAATGCTTAATGACAAAAATGTACGACATGCAGCCACTATGTTAATTATTCGATATCATAAAATAATTTTAAAAAAATATTTAATTTAGATTTTTTTTTATTATTTAGGTATAAGTAACTTACTTCCTTTGGATTTGTAGTAATAAAATCATTGTACACCTTTCGCAAGTGATCCCCCATTGCAAAATTTTGAAGCCGGCCCAGCTGAAAAACAAAATTAATCATTTGAACAACAGTAAATAAAATAAGTCAACAACATAAAGAATATCAGTTGGGTGTTAATAAATTAGTTGGCAAATACACAAGCGTTTTTTCACACTTCTTTCAAAATTACAAATGTAGGTCGACAACTAATTTTTGCTTCAAAAATTTCTTCATACTGTCAATCGTTTACCCATACATCTTTCGATTTGTTATATAGGAAAAATTCGCAGTATTCTAATTGCAGTGTCGCTCTTTTTGACACTACATTGTGTAGTAAAAATGATTTTCATATTTATTTTAAAACCTTTCTCCAGTTAAGTAATAATTTATTTAAGCATTTTAAAATAATAATTACTATTTTATTAGTTCTAAAACATTTTTTAATTATCAGAAATAAAATTTTTATATACAAATCATAAGTTACATGTTTTTGAAATGTTATTATTATTTTCTTTTAAATTATTTAAATTAACTCTTGAATGTGTGTGCTAGTTTTGTTCACTATGTAGTAAAGCTGAACTTAAATTTCACGTTTTTAAAACTTCTAAGAAATATTTATGAAAAAAATTTAAAATTTAGAAACTTAAATCTATTTTCAAATTACATATTTTTTTAAATTTTTATAAATATTTTTAAAAAATAAATAAATTTATATTTGTAAAAGTTCTAGGACCTGAAGAATTTAATACTTCATTGTTAATTAAATCTATTAATTGTTATTAATCAACATTATTAATTGTTAATAATTAGATTTATTATTAATTGTCAATAATTAAATTTATTATTAATTAAATACATAAATTATAAGATTAGCTGAATTATCTATAACTGCATAATACATATTTCAATATGACTAGCTTCAACTGATTTGACTAAACATTTTTTTAAAATTTTAAATTGCTTTAAGACTGTACTAAAAATGTGCATTCAACTAAAAAGTCAAACTCAAACAGAAGTTCTAATCATAAATTTTATTACATTCAAACAAGAATATTTTCCGTTTCCAATTTAATAATCATTTAATATTTTTTATTATGAAATACACATAATTATTAATAATACAATATTTAAAATGGAATTATTTATATGCTTATAAAAATAAATTTTTTTTATAGAAACAGTGTAAGAACAGCTGTCTTTGTATATGTAGATACAGTAGTTTTTTTTCCGTCCGTAAAGAACTTGGTTAATTGAAATTTCAATTTAATTTATACTATAAATTCTTATTATAAATCTAAATAAATATCATAAATCTTATTATAATACATAAGAATGAATTTCGACAAAAAAATAAAATTTTTAAAAACTACTCAAATTACCAGTGTTAAAGACTGATATCCTTCTTTCCAAATAAAGCCACTATGAGGATTTGATGGAAAGGACTGATACGGTGCACGATGGCCATGCCTTATTACCTGAAACAATCAAAACATTATAAAGTTAACGTGGAACTAAACTCAATCTAATAATGATTATAATCATGAGAAGAAAAAAAGATACATTTATTCTATGTTTTACACATGGAATTATGTTTTACAAACTAAAGAAAACTTTTCATACAAAGTACATTGTGAATTTGATTTTTAATGTTTTCTCCCTTTAAGTTCTCTTTTCGTCTTCCTATTTGTCCTATGAAAATATGACTTTTTTAATTAGTGCAGAAAATGATCACAGGATACTTTTACTTTAATTAGTTCTGTTTTTTTTCTCACAACGTAAAAAGTTCTATCATTTCTTACAATCCAGGCTTAATTCGGGGAGAGGGACGAGATCAAGTTCTTCTGATTGAAGCTGTGTAAGAAAAAGACACGATCCACAGAGGTATGTTGTGTTAAATTACTTGTGGCGTTATTTTTCTGACAAAAACCATGAATGAATCTGAGTTGCCTCACGAATTGATAAAGATTCTCAGTTCCCGAACAGTCCCTCCCAAACAGTATATGAATTCTATGCTTTGATTCCATGTCCATTATATTTTTAGTTGGTTTTTGAAAATCAGTTATGAAATTTTATAGTTTTTTATCAATTATTTTGAGAAACGAACCATAATATTTTTTTTAACACTTTGCGTGCCACCGTGCTATTTTACCAAACCTAATATTGAACTTCACATCTATTTTCTCAATAATTTCCAATCAGTTTATAATTTTTCAATGTATGTAATAAGTAGGAAAATGAAAAGGTGATTGGAGAAATATAAACCATTTTACCTAACCTAATTTTGATTGCACATGGATTTGCTCAAACTTTTCAAATCATCTTTTTGCTTTCGAATATTAATACATTGGAAAATGATAAATATATTATATCAATATTTAAATAATTTATTTAGCTACATTCATATTGTATTTATTTATTTTTTAAAAAAATTCATATCTGTAGGAGGGTAGTTGAGTACAAATAGAACCAAGGTTCTAAAACTGATACAGAGACTTGTAAACTTTCGATGTATCCTTCCACGTATGTTATGTTTAAGAAACGATGAGGCTAGACACTATGACTGTATTTAAATTTACATGTAATTTTATCATCCCTAAGATTCGTCCGTATTTTATAAATTTTAAAGGGTATAATAATTTCTGTATTTTTCTTTTTATAAATTATAAAGGACAGTGAGCTATAAATAGATTTTAGGGAATTAATTTCGACATAGCTAAAGTGTATGATTCGACATTTTTAAGTGCTATCTTCAGTTTTTTTTTCAATTAAATTTAAATGGATTTAAAAGTTGAAAGACAAATTGCACAAGTCATATCGTACAGTGAACAAAAAAATAACAATATATGATTTTGTGTTTTAAAAGATTAGACTTAAAACTAAATCGGAAATAGTACCCGAAAAACTTAATTACGAATTTTTACCGCTAGCGCCACCTATGTTTAGCTTTACATGGTAAACCGTCCATAGTTTGCGCTATGTAAATTTGGTTGGCTTGTAAATGTAAATCAGTCTTCTTCTTCTTAAAAAAAATAATAAAAAATGAAATAAAAAAAATAAATAAAACATATTGGAATATATTTCCTGATTTTCTAAAACTAAATTATTCCCACCATCAGTGAGGAAACAATAAAAAATAATTTTTTTACCATAATTGATGTTTATATTAAAAAAATTTTTTTTCACATATTAAAATGAGGCCTTATTTGAAACTGCTTTAGAAAAATCCTTTCATCACTATCAAAAGGGAATGTTATGTTATTGTAATAAATTTTGCCATGTTTATAATATTACTTATAATTTTTAGGAAAAAATATAACAGTTTTATTTATAATAGAAAAAAAGTTGCAGGAAATTCTTCAATTCAAATTAAATAATTTAAAAGTTTCCAACTCAAATTTAATGATAGGCTCTTTATATATTTTTAAAAACTTTATTTTTCTGGGCTTGCGAATTTTTTAATTTTCATCAAAACATTTTAACCTTTTTTCTTAATTCACAATTTATCATATTTAATTTCACATATGATAATTATATGGTAATATAAAATGGTAAATGATGAAAAATGACTCTCCAGTTATCCGACTTTCAATATATCGTATATGCATTATATTTGTTTTCTTTGAATTTAAATATACGGATGATTTTTAGAACAAATAAAAATATAAAAAATTTTATACTGTTACCATTTGCAGTTGTACAAGTTTTCGTTCTTCATCGTCAGCTTCCATTAAGAAAGGTTCCATAAAAAAAGGATGCAGTAAACTTGGTGAAACCAGGAAAAAACTTTCTAGAATATTTTTTAAGCTGAATACAAAAACAAGGACGATGAAAATGAAGAACAAATCTTTATTTAGAATTCGCATTTTGCTAAGAAGTAAGTCAATTGTAATGTCAAAATATGCATTTTTTGCTTGAAACAAGTTTACGTAAAACTAAAAAAACATCCATATTGCCTATATATTGTGTTCTATATAATTGTTTCTGGAAAAGTTAGATTACAAAGCTCTGGAAAAAGAATATTAGAAGTGTGAAAACAAACAATAAAGTAGATAAAGTGTCGTAGTTTTATTGCGCAGTAAAAACCGATGGTGTTTTGAAAGTAATACTCGTTGACGTAATCTTTTCAAAATCGCCATATTTGCTCGTGATTTCATACGAGTGGTATAATACGAAACTTTCTATTCTTAGTTGTGTTTAGTAGATTTTGTGTAGTATTCTTAGTAGAAATCTACAAAGATATATTTTTAGTTTTTATAGAATATAATTCTAACAAACAAAATTTTTTTTCCAATGCCTGCCAAGATTTTTTCCAATGCCCATATGACCTTTCGGGCAGATTTATTGACCACTCTTTCAGTGGCACCATATTAGATGGGAAACGTTGCTTTCGCAATAAGGACAGATAGTACAGGGAAGGAAAGAATATCAATGCCTTGTAGGGATTCGAACCAAGAACCTTTCTGATGCAGGGCCAGTTTCCTGAGTCATACACAAGCCGGACAAACTTTTTTATATTTATACTGTATGATTTTATAAAAAAAATATTAAAAGAATTTTCAAATTTCAATTGAGTAAGATGTGGATTTAATTTAAGCTTTTTCTTTAATGTAATAAAGATATAAACTAATCTTAAAAAAAGCCATTTAAAAAAAAAAACTTTTTGGAATTGTAACAAAAAAATTGCTCGAAAGGTTTGCTTTAAATTAAAATCGGTTAACAACATATTCCATTAGATTCCCGACCATTTCTTTTCACTTAAGCTCAGTTCACAACATTCTTTTTCCAAAAAAAACATGAAATACAGCATGAAGGGAGGTCATATTTTAAGTGATGTGACAGTATGTTAAAGGAAATGCGTGAAAGCAACTAAATTAAGTAAAATTTATAGCATTATGCACTGAGAAGACAGTATGGTCCAAACTACTAGAATATGGTAACATTTACCGTGTTTCCGACTGTATAAGACCACCAAAAACCACGGTAACTTTTATCAAATCACTTTGGTAATGATTATGGTAAAATTAGCAATAAAATATTGTTTTAAAATGTGCACAATTGAATATAATTTTGAGCTTCATATTTTTACTAAATGTGTTGTTATAAGAATTATAATTTTGAAAACCAGAATTTCCGTTAAACCGTTAACATAAGAATGGTTTAAATACCTTATATTTGGGGTTTATTACAAAAATTATGCTTTTTTTAATAAAAATGTCTTTACCACATAAAACAGTAATTTTACCTCAATTTTTTTCTTACTGCAAAGGCGTTCGAATTAAAAAGGGTACATCTCAACCCAACTCGAATTTTGTCATAATTGAAATCCTCCCATCTTTATATCATAAGCGAATATATTGGGATATGCCATAATTTCCTTATTCTACCTTTAAAATTTGCCTCAATGAAATTTGTCTTCTGACGTACATCACAAAATTAGAAGTTGAGATCGGTTTTTATTCTGAGGCCTCAATTTATATCGTGAAATATTAAAAACTTTCAGTAAAATATATTTAATAGATTCAGTTCGCTAAAGACAAGTTTCATTTACAAAGAAGCTCAACGCCAAAAATAATATAATGATATCTCCCTTAAATAAATAAACTAAATTAATGATTTATTGAAGTATTTATTTTTAAATTATTTTATTTCACTTGCATTTTAAACAAAAAAGTTATCAAATAATCTCTTAAGAAAAAATCATCTTTAAAGATTTTTTAAAAATTTCAATTGTATATATTTACTTTTTTTTTATGATAATAAGATTAGATTTATGAGCTTTTTAAAGTTGTAGCTTTTAAGTCTTTTTAGTTTTAACAGAATTTTTTTTATCAATTCAGTGTTAAGCTACAAAATGTAATATAAATTATTTATGAATTACACAATGGACCTAAAATTATCCTTGATATTTTAGGTTAATTTTTAGGTTAATTTGTTAATTTTTCAAAGTTTTTATCGTTTATAATTACTTTGCTAAAATAAAATAAGTTTCCAAGTTATTTTGGGGCAGTGAATTAAAAAAAAGTTTTAGTCGAGCTATTTAAAAAGAGTATCTCCCAAGAAGTAATTAATTTTAAAAAATTTAACTTTTATAGAATTTTTTTAAAAGCATAAAACTTTTTTTAGAAGAATAATAATTCATAAAATTAAATAAGGTGCGAATTTATTTAGGCTATAGATTCTAGGTCTGTCTTGCATGAAAAGTTTCTTTCAGCGTAAAATTGCAAAAATTAATGAACTCAATCGCATAGATAAAAAAAGTGCATTTCATCGGGTTTTTTTTAAGTTTAATTATTTTTTCATTTATTGTTTCATTAACATTTATTGTACGAAAACTGCTTTACTCTTATATAAACCATAGGTAAAAAAAATTTATAGTTTGACTGTTTAGGAAGTATATTTCATTGTGATTTTTTGAGATAAATTGTTTTTAAAATGTTTGTTTGATAAAATAAAATAAGTTATGAGCTTATTTAGATAGAAACACAGTTGTAGTCTGATTATTTATTATGTTTCTATCAATAATAGTCCCAAGAGAAAAGAAAGTTATGTATGACTCAATTTAGTACACTGTAAAAACTTTTAATGTGGAAATTTTTTTTATTGTTTCATACACACTGTACATAGTACAGTGTAAAAACTTTTAATGTGGAAATTGTTTTTATTGTTTCATTTACATTTATTATATAAAATCTGCTTTAAGCTTATTTATACCATAGGTGAAAAAGTTACAATCTGACTATTTAGGAAGTTATTCCAATTAAATTGTCACAAGAAGAAAAAAGAAGTTATTCATGACTCAATTTAGTCGATCAAATAAAAAATTTATTTTGATTTATTTAAACGTTTAGCTGTTTCTTTTTTTTTTTTTGTTTGATAAATTAAAATAAGCTTAATGCTTACTAAGGCTATAGAATTTAAGTATGTCTCGTTTAAAGTTCCCTTCCAACCCAATAATTGGGAGAAGTAATAAATCCAACATAATATATAATAAAAGTATATTTCATTGTGATTTTTTTGAGATAGATTATTTTTGTTGCTTGCTGTAAAGTAGTTGCCACGAAAATTGGTAGCAACTACTTTACAGCAAAGTGGTATAGTGAAGCAATAATAGATAACTCTCTAGGATCCAAATTTGGATAAAAATTATTAGGTAACTAGGTTAATCTCTAGGATAAAAATTGTTTTTGCAATTATTGTTTGATAAAATAAAATAAGTTCTGAACTTATTTAGACCATAGATGTCACGAAAATTGGTGGCAACTACTTTACAGCAAAGTGGCATAGTGAAACAATAATAGATAACTCTCTAGGATCCCAGATAACTCTCTAGGTTCCTCACTACACAAGCAACCAATAGTAGGAACTACTCTTGGTTCTTTGGTGTAGTCAAATAGGTGGTTTGGTGAAGTCAAACACCAAAAATTTTATTTTTCACTAGTTAGTGTAAAAAAAAAAGCATTTTTTTTAAAAAAAACTAATATTGCCTTCCAAATCATACTAAATATGTTTGAAATTTGCCACCTAATAAAACTTTCTGCATCTCAAATTTATTAATTTCCCTTTTAAAATATCGTTTAGTCTAAAAGTTTTTCTTTTACCAAAAAAAAAAAAAGAAAAAAAAAGAAAATCATGAAACTAGTTGCAGACAGTCTCTAGGTTATTTAGTCTGTGGTTTTGAATTTCTCAATGATTTATTATTCATGTTAGATAAATCAGATACTAGCTAGCGTTTTTTCCAAAAAATAATGTAACCACTAAATCTTAGTTTTTTCATATTTATTTTTGTGTCTGAAAGGCTTATTTATCTTTCAAATAAAAATTTAAGAAATTTTATTCAAGTAGCTGACTAAGAAAAAAATGAAAAGCTTAAGGACCCGATTTTGTCAAACTTTTCCCTATGTGTCTGAACCTTTCAATATTATTGAAGAATGTATACTTTTTAATCTTTAAATACTAACAGGAAATGCGTAATTTTTCTTTCTCAAGAGTCCCTAAAAGTTTGTATCAAGTAAAAGTTTTTTTTTCAATTTGTAGAGTTCTTCCGGAGTAAAACACTTTACTACGAATTAAATATTTTAAAAATGCGAAATTAAGAATTAAGAAAATACCACATTAATAACCAAGAGCACAGTTCTTTTTTAACAGTCAATGCAAAACAACATGTTTTTTACAATTTTATTATTGAATGAATATAGCTAATGACTATAAATAAATTCATGATTTCCAGCAGCAGATGAGAGGTTTTTAACATTTCTGATGAAGAGACAAACTGCAATAAATAAAATAAAATATTTGTACATATAATTAGAAAAACAGTTCACAGAATAAATAAAATAATGTTAGAAATTTTTTAAAAAATAAAACTTTTCTAAAAAAGTAAGGAATAAAATATTTCGCGAAACTTAAAAAATCGAGTTGATATAGCCTAAGTTAGTTTTTTAGATATTATGTTCATTTTATATAAAGTTTATCTTAAAATGTGTTCAAGAATTGCTTATAAAATTTCCAAAGGATGCAGATGAAAAGTCGGTGGTTTGCTTAATGTTATTATTGTTTTTAAAAATCAGCCTACTTTTTCAGTTGCTTCTATTTTTACCTATAAAGTTACGACATGCAAAACATAATTGAAAGTTATATTGAATGTAATCGGTTCCTTTACTACGTTAAGTATTCGGAATCTTTTCTACATTAACTTTGCTTTTTAGTACCCATCTTTTCTTTTATTTCAATTACCGTTGATTTAATATTATTTAATTTTCTAGAAATTCGATAGAAAAGCACAACTATAAATAAAAATAAAACGTGGTTTCAGACAACTTTACAAGGTGAAAAAAAATTTTGGTATAATTACCATACTGTGTGGTAATGAAATTTCTGGTTAAAAAAATCATATTTAGCGCATTTAAAACTAAAATATATACAGTATTTAAACCCTTTCTATTATATTTCATAATTGTTTCGTTCATATAGTAAAAGTTTACCGGAAATTCAGATTCTTAAAATTAAAGTTCTTATCACCTCACGTTTAGTAAATATACAAAATTCAAAATTAAATTTAACCGAATAAAGATTTTCATGCCACGCCCTAAGGTACCTTAATAAAATTAGCAAATTTTAACCCATAAACCAAATTTTATCCTGCATTATAGAACCATGTTTTATTGCTAATTTTATCGAAATAATTAGCAAAGCGCTTTTACAAAATACTGCGGCGCATTTTGGCGTTTTCATAGAGCCAGAAATACGGTAAGTTTTACCATATTCTAATAATCTTGACTATTTTTTTTCTCCGGGTGAAATAAGATTTTTGCATAATTCAAATCGTAAAATTACGGATTTGTTTTTCTCTCTTTCGTTTTTCTCTGTATTTAAATACAATATCGGTAGCGATATAATCCGCTTCACGTTGATAACTGAAATTGCAAAAAATAATTTAAAATTAAAAAACACGCAATAAATTCTTGCACAGAATCTTCTAAAGTTTAACTTATAACAATGGCTAATGCTAAATATCATTTTTCAAATATCTCTCTTGAATGAACTAATTGAAATTTTTAAGCGATTTTGAGAATCGGGGACTAAAATTGTTCCTCGTATTTAATTGTTGCTTATCCAAATTTCAGTAGCTTTGTGCAAATGGTTATAAGAGATTTGACATAGCATGTTGCGGTAAGGGCAAATGAAACTATTAAGTAAACACCAAATAAAAAATGATTAAAAATATTTTACTATAAGCTTCTCGAATTTTCAATAGTATGAAATATATTTCATTATTAAACGAGTTCATTAAATCAGGGTTTGGATGAAATGGTAATTATTATGTTCTATAAAAATTTTGTGTTAGTGACACAAAACACACTAGGAAACTATAATTATTCTGTCATTTATACGTACGGGGGGTAAATCACAAACAGTCTCAAGTGGACGTAAAGATATGTTCATTTTGTAATCACATTCCGCCAAGAAATCAACAGGCCTAAACTCTGCTGTTCTGTTCAAAAAGCTTTCAACAGAACAGAAGCTTCCTCCGCATTCTTCAAAATACAATGATACTGGTGGATCGATTCGAATTTCTGGGCTTGAAGAATTGAAGTGAAGAAATCGCAGTGAATATGCATCATCTTCTTTCCACAATTCGAGAACTAGAACAGACCCCATTGGTGTTTCAACGAAACTAAATTTATTCAAGGTGAATAACACCTGGGTTATTGTGCTCCCATGCTGTAAATAAGGAGAGGTTTTGTTAAGGAGGACAGTAAACATAAAGATCAAAGCTTTGCATACATGCATCAGAGTTTATAAAGAAATCCTCATTCGAAAAATCAATTGAAAAAACGGAAGGAGATAGAGGTGTACGCTTTGTTAAGTTCTGCTTAGGAAACAAACAGGCCTTTTCTCATAAAATTTTAAAATTAGTTAAAAATATGCCAATAGATGGCGCTGCTATTTTAAAAATAGCTGCTATTTGCAGAAAAAGTGTGATCCAGCCATAGAAAGAAATAAGCAATCACTTATAAAAATATTTCAGTTGTGTTTCAATATGTATTACAAAGCAAAATTTTAGAAATTTTTTTAAAATGGTATCATTTTTTTCTATTAACTAAGTTGTGGTCTGATATTTCCCATGCATCTGTACTGTTACTTAAGGATAATGTGAAATACGAATTTTCTTTTAAAAATGCTTGATCTAGATCAAATTAAATTAAAAAAAAGAATTCTGTGATCTGTAATTTTACTTTGTCAGTGTATTTATGAATAAAAAAATATTGAATGTTCTTGAATATTAAATGTTCTTGAAATACTGAATGTTATTGAATATTGGATGTTAGACACAGAAGGATTTTTATCATATCTTTTATTAGTCAACATGGATGGAGCTAAGATGAAATTCTAAGATGCTTATGCACTAAAATTTGAGGAGCATGTCTCACATAAGTTTATGTTTTCAGTTGCAAAATGTTACATTTGTCTCATCTTTGTTTTTAACCAGTTTAAAGAAAATGTTCATTTTGTCCACTAAAATACTCATTAGATATAATCTCGCTTTCTAATTTATTAAATGGTAGTTTAAATTTGAAAAGTAGAAAAGATTTTTTGCAACACTTGAATTATTTTTTTAAAAAGTTTGTAAAATACTCTTGATACTATATAAAATTTGTTGCTGAAAAACAGCTAATGAAAAGTCAGGAATATTCTAATTATTTTTGAAATCAAAAAACACAATCCTTCTCTTTAAATAATACTTTAAAAATAATAGCTAATTTAAATTAACTTTTCTTTGAAGGCGCGCCTTTTTTATTGCTTTTTTAATGAATATAATGTCAATCAGGGCTAATATGGAATAAAAGTCTATCATGTCATTATTATCAATGATTTAAATGCTTCATAAATAATAATAAATCAAAATAAAAAGTATTTTTAATATTTTAAATATAATATTTTTGATTTTATATTCTCAATTTAGTCATAGATTCGGAAACATACCTTAAAAAGCAGAACTACACATTACTATACATTTTGGAAGTTTTTTTTCAAGTATCTCACATTATGATGCCATATTAGGTATTATATATTTTCTAGCTTTTAAAATTTCGTTAATTTCATACATTTATTTTTTTATTCATTCTTAATCCTTTTATAATTAAATTGAACTAATAACTATTTTTTTTTACCTCATTTTATATTAAAAAACAAATATTAATCTTATTCCTTTCTTAACAAATTTAACGGATAAGTTTTTAATTAGATGCTCAACGATCTTCGACGATAAATTCAGTACAACTTATTAATTACCTAAATCAGATGTCCAAACCTATTTTAAGCTTCATTTTCCTTTAAGCTACTTTTTTTCACTAACCACAAAAATGTTTCGGTTACAGGGTTTTCTTAAATTCGAACGACATTTTTGGTGATTGAGCTACAGCCAGATTATTCAAAACTTAAAATTTATTACTTGGGGTTGGATTTAGTTTTGGCTACTTTGTCTATCGATAACTTGCCATATTTTGAATCTCTTAGTAACCGTTAGTAACAATATATCCGTATATCCGTTAGTACCAATTTATCAACTGGAAATTTTAACATTTTGGAGTTGGAGGGGGGTTTATGGATGCCCGATGTCCCCTTAGTCCGACCATTGAAAGTAATACAAAAATGTTATATAAAATGGATCTGTGTTTGTCTCGGTAAATAGATAATTAAATGTTTTCTTTTTTTTATTTTTATTTAATATGCTTTAATTTTTTTTTAGTGTGACCATATTTGCTTGTTAACTTTAAAAAATGCTGCCTAATAAAAGCAGACACGTTTTGTCTGATATATCTCTGATATATCCTCCTTCAACAGGTCCCGCAGTAGACTGATCGAATAGTGAAGACGTGGTTCCCTGTAGAGTACTGAAGTCGAGTAACACTGGCTACGGTCAGTAAGCGGGTGGATGACCACTTCGATCAGCCTGCATTAGGACCGAGGGTGCGCGTTATCGGTCCCGGTTAAACTGTTCTACTGCAAAGGTCGTCGAGCAAATTAAGCAGGGAAGCCATTCCCTCTGCAGAGGATCGAAATTGCGATGTCATGTCTACGGATCATCCTCAGGGGTGCTACCCAGACCGTCGCCAATAGCCCATTGTGCATCTCTAGTGCGATGTAAATAAAGTACTTACCCTCCTTCAACAGAACGACCATCTATCAATACCTTCCATGATACCAATTCTTTAACGATATACGTATTAGCTTTGATTAGTCCTCTATATAATGCTTTAGGCAAGGTACATTTTTAATTGATGTTTAAAATATATAATAATTTAAAGAAAACTTAAATACTTATTCAAGTTAAAATCTATTTCTTACTCCAGCATAGACAATAACACGTTTGTCCTCCATATCGTCTTTCATTTTTAATATCATGTTGCTAATCATGTGATTTAGCAAATTACCTATAAAAAATAGATTTAAATGGATAATCATACAGTCAAATAAATAGACACAATATCTAACATCATGATAAAATATAAATGAAAAGAAGAACGTTACAGCTGAACCGAATCAATAGGATTCACGTCTTTGAATATATGTAAAAAATGAAATAATAATAATGAAGTGTGATTGTAAAATAACTATGTGCACCAAAGTTATAACCCACTTTTTCCTTCATTTTTTTAAAATATTAAAAATAAAAATTTCTGAGGCAAATTTTTTTTTAGAAACTGAAGCAACGTAAACCTGGTGTAGCTCTGTCTTAATACGCAAGTATTATTTTCATAATTGCATGTAATTCGATGTTTTGAAATATATTTTTTTTGAAGATGTAAAAATCTTTTGATAACTTTGCTTAATAAAATGATAGTAGCTAATTTTAAGCCCAAAAAATACAAAATTATAACATATTCTTAAAAAGGAAAATTCTGTTAAAGATATCAGTTGAAAAATAACTAAAAATGCTATCCTTAATATAAAACCAATAAAACTTCAACCAACCAGAAAAGAGACTTACCAGAAAAGAAAAATTCTACTTTGTCATATTTTATAATTGTAATAAATACTCTGAGTTAGATTTTGAAAAAAATACATGTTTTTGTATCAATACATACCGATGTCTGCAAATTTAGTTCATGTCCTTTACGATTCTCAAACTAACATTTTTTCAACTACACAATAGGATTTTATGTATGGCAATGCTTTGTTTATCATTGAAAACTGTTTAGAATAGAGAAGTAAGCAGCTTTTTTATCTGATCTATGCTCAGTAGAGGAATTTTTTTAGTGATAAGTGTTTTCACTCTTTGTTACATCTGTCAACCACATTAGTTGTATAAAGAATGTTTAGATATTTTTTATTTATCTGGATAAGATAGCTATTTAGTTTATTATCTTAAATTACATTTATTATTATAATTAAATTATTAAACTAACTAACTAAAATTAAATTATTATAACTAAATTAAATTTATTAGCTTAAATTACATTGGATTTCAATATTTATTTTTGTTTTGGGATTGGATTTTTGTTCTTTAAAATGTCATATCCGTTACCTAATCTGGTAACAGAATTTACATTATTTACACATTTTGATTTAGTTTAAATTTTCAAACATGTGATCTAGCTAGGTGAAATATTTGATGCCCTGAGTAGCTAGAATGTTAATAAAATATGAATGTCAAGAATAAGGAAAGAAATGAATAAAAGTTAAATTTACTTAATATTTTATGTATTTTATTATAATATGTAAAATTTGTTTATAATTCTTGAACTATTTATTTGTCTTAAACTGCTTTCACATTTCATTTATTCTTTGTTTCGTTTGTATGGTAATCTAGAAAACAAACTATTTTGAAGACAATTAATTCTGTGTTAACTAATTCAATCACAATTATGTTTAAAAAAAAGTGTTTTCATATTATGTTGCCAATTTAAAAGGATTGCATTTAAGAATAAATTTTAAGGATTGCCACTCGTTATGAAAAGTGGTAAGGCAAAGCAAGCGATATTGCAGCCCTCTAGTTTTGCAGATGAAGTTCATTCAATATGTAATTCGCTTATTATAAAAAACCGGTTAATGTCACTAAAAGTTTCCTATCATGAGTTGGAGAGAACAAAGTGAGAATCAAGCTCACCGGCAAAGTTCATTCTAGCAATTCAGGGAAAGAAGGCAAAGAAAGTCGAATCGAAAGAGAGAAAAGCTAAAGTCAAAATAGAACCTTATTTGACGTTTTATCACCGTCTTTTTACTTTTCAACTGACATATTTTCTCCCAAATGAGCATTTTCTAACGGTTCTTGCTACATCTTCTTTTACAAGTTACTTGGATCACCCATTCAATCTTCAAAAGAAATGCTCTCCTATTCCGAGAAGTTTAACATTCCCCACCCATGAAAAAGTAAACTCCTCCACTAAACTTTCTGACCTCTCGCCAACTTGGCGTGGTAGAATAATACGCAAATTACATTTCTCAAACGATTTCATTTTTATTACTTAACTCCTCTTTATTAATAATTATCAGGTATAGTAGTAATTAATAATAATATTTATAATTAATAATATTTATCAATAATAAATCGATTGACTTGTTTAACAGTAACATACAAGTTGACCATCAAAGTCCATAACCATCCCCATAACTTTTAATTAGCTGTAGCTATAGATAAAAAATTATTGCCTGGATGTAGTAAATTGGTCATGTTAATACCAACATCTGATGGAAAACGACAGTGATAATGTTTTAACTAAGGAAATGATCCACGTATATAGGGAAATGCTGAACTACAAAGTTTTAGAACAACACCAATTTAGCATAAAAATTCGTCTTGTAAACATTAGTGGGGGAAAAATGAGCGCTTAGCGTCACTCATAGGAGCTCACTCTTCCCATAGCAAGAGCGCTTAACACCACTTCGAGTCGATGACCTCTTGTCTATAGGATGAGCGCTACACCCCACTTCCTCAATGAATGAGAGTTTAACAATGAATGAGAGTTTTGCAATAAAAAATGAATCTGAAAGTTATTTAAAATTACGAAGTAAGCGTCATTTTTTTTTCTTTCAAAAATGCCAAAATAAGAGCATATATGTATAGTTAACGTAATGAAGGAAAATTTTCGATTTTTTTTAAAAATCTTTTGCTATGAGGAAGTAACTTTGTAAGTGGGATGAAGCGCTCATCCCATAGCAATACAGTAAGTAAGGTAATCAACCCTAAAAGTGGGGTGTAACGCTCATTTTTCCTCTACAAACATTAATATTAAGAAATGTTCTACTTTACCCAATTGTTCATTTACCTTTTACCCATATCTTTCACTGTTTCTTAAATAGAAACGTAACTATACAGCTTTCTATTAGCTGGCATTTTTATCTAAAAATTGGTAAAGTTTAATTGGTAAAGTTTTCAATATAAATGAGGATGCAAAGTCATCTTTAATGCGAATGAATTATAAATAGTTATATCGTAATACTAGTTCTTATTAGGAGCTTTTAATTATTAAAGATAGCATATTTTTATGAGTATTTTACGCTGCATCGTTTTAAAATGATATTTCACACTTATTTTTTTAAAAATAATAATAAAAAAGTGTAGGCGTTCAAGATGACGGATATTTTTAAAAATTAAATTTTTTAAATAAATATATTGCATTACCTACTCGATATCTAAGCAGAATTTTTGTTGAATACAGGAAGTAGTAGTTGAGAAGAATTTGATATTTTAACTCATCTCGACATGGCTCTGACCATTTAGGCGATGATAAATTGAAATATTCCTGAAAAACTTTCTTTTATCACTAAGTAGACATCAAGTTGAAGACAAAAATCAGATATTACATTAAGTTGACAAGGACTGAAATTTTTAATAAGGAGATAAAGAAAGGATAATTCAAATCCTTTACGTACCTAGTGTGTTAAATTTCGCAAAAATAAATGAATTAATTTGAAAAATAAGGAAAATAAACTGTTTTTTTTAAGTAAAATTATCTAATATGACGAGGACAGTGAAGAAATAAAGTTTATAAAGCAGCATGAGATTTACAAGACACATTTTCCGTTGAAATACCATGAGCCTAACACATAAAATATTCTAACTTCCATCAATTGGTAGTAGAGTTAGAGATTATCTTAACGATAGCTGGACTCCATTAAAGCAGATTTTAAAACAAGCAGGGTATCGAACTGACAAGACCTGGCAACAACGAAAACAACTCGGATAAATGGCCCATACCGAGCTATCGGGCCAATGATGATGATGAAAATTACCTTAAACAGTAGTATAACATAGCTATACAGCTTTTTTCCCCTCCGTATACCCTCTTAAAGTTTTGAAAGTTCTCCAACGCCGTTTGAGCAATATTTATATTTAGAACGTGATAAATATACAGTTTATGACAATCGGCATGCGATATAATGACCCAATTAACTTAAACGAAAATTGAGGTCATAACGCGAAGTCATTATATCTTGAATGTGCATGCCCAAAAATACTATTAAACTATTGATAAAAATAACTTTTTTGAAACCTTTAGCTAAATTTAATGACTAATATGTTCAATGTGAGTCTTTTGTTTTGAAAGCGAAAAGTGTGCAGATGCTAATTTTCTCGGAGAAAAACAAATCGAATTTCACTTAATGATTTAATTCATTATTCAGTGATGATATTCATGAAATTTGAAATTTATTATTCAGTGTGGACGTTCTGAATTTATTCAGTGTGGACGTTATGAAATAGAAACGGTAATTATGTATCGGCGTTATAATAATCGGCGTTTTTTTTTCTTTCTTGCTGTTCATATAAAAATATCCGTGAGTAAAAGAAGTCAATAAAGCATTTACAATACCAATGATAACTAATACTTAACTGTAACTACTGTTTCAAAATAATGCTATAAAAATTACAAATTAATGAACCATGTTTCACAAAGCTTCTCTCACAAATTATATATATTATGTATACAGCATTAAAAATAATAACTAATAAACTATATACAGAGTGTCTCAGTTAAAAGTTTCAGAACTCCTAAGAGGGGTAGGGTGCATCCTGACGACTCGAAATCATATAGCAATGCGGGGTCGGAAATGCTTTCCTGAAGCGGTGATGTACACAGAAGCACCATAAAGAAAAGAGACCGAAAGTGCATATAAACCTTGAGCAGTCCTGTATAAAGCATTAACAAATCTTTTTATGTTGTTTCGTTGTCTAAATTTGCATTAGTTTGTTGCCATTTCTTTTACAAGATTATTAACAATATTAATGCGACGTGTTATATTGTAGAGAACAATACATGTCGCAGCATAAACAGTGGTTAAAGGTTGGATTTGCCTTGAGTATAAGAGCTCGAACAAACATTGCGAACTGTCGAACTTTACCAGCTTACAGTAAGGATTTAGATTTTTTATTGTGACCAAACATTTTAAGACTTCAGAATAATAAATTTGTTTGAAAAACCACCTTACCTGTGTATTCAATGTCCTTGCAATTTCAGATGCATGAAAAGGGTCTTGAACTACTACTCGTGTATGAAAAGCTAAAAACCTGTAAAGAAACTAAGAAACGAAATTTTCAATTTTCAGTTAAAAAATGTGGAAAGAAAATGTTCAGACAAAATAATGAAATATTAACTTTATGCCTCTGCAAAGTCTCGTTGTACAGTTTTGAATTGTGGAATACATCAAGCTCATCGTTTGCTCTTTTGCATTTACCATTTCTTCCAAAGATGTTCTAAAAATAAAAAACATAATTTAATCACTCTATTCCGAGGCTAATTGGAATATGCAGATATTTTATGAACTGCCGGTTTAGTTTGCTAAATTGAAAAAATATTTTAGTAGGGAAAGGTGAGGTAAGATCAGGCAGCTAAGATTCGAATGCCTGCTTGAATTGCTCGACTTAGCTGTCAGATTTAATCAAGCTGTTCATTGCTCAGTTCAGAACAACATATAACTTCTGAAATGTCATAGATGTTCTATTTCAGTAAAAAAGTAGACGACAATTCTGTTTTACATCGAAATTTAAGAAAATTATGCATGTAATAATTTACATGTTATATAGTCAAGGGGAGAAGGAAGATTTGTTTCCCCGGGGCTGTTGAGAGCCACATCAAAATTTCTTACAAAATTTTTTAATTCATTCATTAGTTTTTTTAATATAAAAAATAAGAAAATTGCAGAAAATTTCTATTAATATAAAAACTAAAATTTTGTATCGAGGAACTTTGAAAATTTAACGAAATGTGGAAATAACGTTTCATGTGCTTTGAGAAAAGGGCCAGCAAAAAATTTTGTCCTCGAGCCCGTAAAACAATTGTTCAGCCTTGGATGTAGTAATTTTCTTCGCCTAGTGCACTGCAAGTTTTATGTACTCAACATAGACTCACATCAAGAGCATGGGTGTGAAACCGGTTTGAATACCTGGTTTTACCTCAACAATAGAAGTTATCGAAATATAACAGAACAGTGCTGTTATTGGACTAAATCATTATTGTCTGACAATGTATGAATCTTTAGTAAACGTCAAATAAGCTGGATAAAAAACAGTTTTTGTTACTGGAATGATCAGTAAATTAGGTTAGTTTAAAAACAAAAGAACATTAGAGAGTTGACAGAGTAAAACGAGCGTATCTACGCAGACGCCGTCAATGAATCAACCACTACACATCAATGTGATAGGTCCTTATCTTCTTGACTAGTAAAGTGTAGAGTGCCTTCAGTAAAGTGTAGTTCAGTGTTTGCTTCCTACGAAACAGAATTAATTTCACCGCAATCGAGGTTCCCGATTTCACATCCACTACACGGTAACATCACCAAAAATAGTGGCAACCACTTTTCACTAAAGTGGCATCTTAGTGTGTTTTACTACACTACGTATCAATGATATTTCCTGAAGGGATGGATGTTCCTTAACGCTACTTAGTTTAAAGGAGCTGCCTCCATATTTTGTAATAATCGAATAACACTAAAATTTATAATTAGAATGAGATATAATGCACATAAGAGTCACAAAGTTATGTTTAGCAATGTTATATGTTATGCAAAGTTATGTATACAACATAAAGTAAAAATCATTAATTTAGGATGCATGCATACATTAAATCTTAAAATGAAACAAGTTTATTTATCAAACATACACAGAGCACAGAAAAAATACTACGATGAATTCTAACTATGCTTAGTAAAGTGAAGGCCAAAAAAATCAAATCATTTAATTTCAAAAAAGGCGAAAAGTTGCCTTATGTAAAAAGAAGAAAATTGATGGAAATTTTTTTAAAGTGAATGATATCTTCCAGTTATGCATAGCACTCAAAATTTATAAAAACTGACAAAATTGTACTTTTTTTTAAAAATTTGTTTCTACTTCTTAAAGTTGTATGGTCGGCATGGTATTGTCCGGTATTGTATATGCTTTCCTATGCTTAATTTAGGGATTGAAATAACAATACAAAATAAAATAATAATATCGTTATTATTTCAATTCACAATATGTTTAAAAACCATGAATCAACCCGATTTTTCTTTAAGTTTTTGCCATTTGAACTAGTTTCAAATGTCATAATTCTTGCAAGCTTTTCTTGCCAGCTGCTACAAAATAAAAATATATTTTATTAAACAGGTTTCTGAATGAACAACCACAAAACTCTCTTAGAGATTTTTCGTCTGAGCAAGCTACCGAAACATGAATGTTTTCCTCTTTTCTTCCATGCAATTTTCAAAAGTTGTAAATAGATTAAAGTTGTAAGTAGAATCAAATTGCACAGGTGCAAATTTTTCAAAAAAAAGGGTTATGACGAAATGATAATATATTCTATATGAAATTATTAGTGTACCCATAGAGCCAGAAACACGGTAAATTTTGACCATACTTTTTTTTTCCTGAGTGGTAATACAGCAGCGATAGCAGGACCACAATTCAAGTTGATAAATTATGTTAAAATGAGTTTGACACAAAATACACATGTTTGCTTACAATTGCTTTAATACAGATGCAATAGAAAAGAAACAACTTGAAAGGTCGAAAGAATGCGGCACATATTCCGTAGATTTAATCAGCTAGTTCGTATGAGAGAATTTAAAGGAAATTTGTCCAGATAAAGGGATGTGTAAAGAATAAAACAACGCTCAGTAGTACGATTTTTAGTAACAGAAGTTTAACGTCTCACGGTTATGTATCGTTGATAGGTTGTTACAATATACTGAGAAAAAAAGTATGTTTGAAACTATCAAAATATAGTAAAAATTACTTTATTTCTGGCACTGAAGGAAGCATTAAAATCTCAGTAATTTTACTGAAGAGCTTTAATACTAATTTTGGTAAAGTTAACGATAAAATATTTTTTTCTTTAATCACATAAAAGTCATTTTATCATATTTTTGATAGTAATGAAATTAAAATTTGGTAATTTTTTCCTTATACCTTAGAGCATGGTATAAAAACCAATTACTCGGTTAAATTTACTTTTTAGTTATCTAATTATTACTAATGTATAGTAATATGTCGTGGTGGTGCCACCTGTTGGATAGGTTACGAAATTCACTGAATTCGAATTACGTTGAATGATGCTAATTTCTTTTCTTCTTCTTTTTTTTAATTTTTTACTAGAAATGTAATTACCAAACAGTACGGTTATTTTACCAGAATTGTTTTCTTTATAAAGGCATCCTTCGACGCCCTATACGTCTAATGTTGCATATGGCATAAACTATAAACAAATATTTCCATCATGAACCGGCATGAATCAATTTCATCATGAACCATTTCCAACATGAACAGAGTACATCAATTGCGGGCCTGCCTCTGTCAACACTCAGGAGAAGTAAATACAACCATAGATGCTTTTGATGAAATTATTAATGGATGAACAAGGAATTACAACTCGAAACTTCTGTGACACAGATATTCCGTGTAAATTTGTCTAAGTAAAATAAAAAAGGGGCAATCACCTTCAGCCACTAAATCGTATCACTTCAAACTTTTTTTGGATGCATTCTTTTGAAAACAACCTTACTTTCACTTTAAATGCTCTTTTATGATCGCGATAATCAGTAACACACAGTACTTCTCTTTCATTCATTTATAACCTCAAATGATAGCGCTGCTATCGTTAGTGTATATCTAACGCTATCACACTTGCTCACTTTCATTTTGGCAACACTTATACTTTATTAGATCAAATCAAGTTTTCTACTGGTGTAAAGCACCACTGTGAAAGGTTTTTAGAAATTTCACGCCAATTATATATCCTATCTTATTCAGGGCAAATTTTGAAAATTATAATTTAATGAAAATCTTACCTCATAGCCTGCAGTATTTGGGATGATAGGCTGCCATTGAATATCATCAGAGAATTGATTCTCTTTTTTTGGGGCATACAAACCTGCCATGAATGCATACGCTCCATACAAAGCTCTTGCAGCTTCCGTAGCTAGCACATTTACCTTTCGAAAAAACGAAATTTCAAATTTGAGCCTAAATGAGGCAGGTTGCTAATTTTGTTAACCATTTTTATAAAACTTCCGAATAAGTATTTTGAATCATAACTTACCAATTATAACTTACTTTAGCATTAAAGTTAGATTAGAATTTACTATGTGAAGGATGAGTTAAGTTTAAAAAATAAGTCAAATATTTAATCTTTAAATCAAAGTCTGAGGAACAAACTTTCAACATATTATTTAGTTCTTTTTATTCCTCTTTCTTAACTTATATTGTTTAGATAACATCTAAATATTTTACTTTCTTCAAAAATATCACCAATGCTAATGATACCATTTTTAAACAATTGAAAAAGACGTCAGCATTAAAACGTTTTATAAAAATCATTCTAGTCGAAAATTTAAAAGGCATAAATTGAGGTCCATACAAATCATATTTAACTTTGTAAGCTGCAAGTAACATCCTTACAATCAATTTTCTAGCGTAAGCATAACATTTTGTATTATAATAACATTGTACTAATGACGTGACAAGTCAATATATTGGTGACCAGTGGCCACTCACACAGCAAAATCAAATTATCTGAGATTTTTAGAGTTAACTTAACAGATTTTTGTGAATTGTTCCCATTTAGATTAACATAAATTTTCCTGTAATTTTAATAATTGGAAACGTAAATATGTGTTAAAAATTTATATCTGAATACCGTAGGAAAAAATTATACCGACATTGCCACTTTTTCAAACCTTAGACGTAAAATAACTTGGGCTCTCATTGGACCAATATTCACTAATCTTGGCTCCAAAAAGGGCCCAAAGGGCCGTTATTTCCGATATGGGTCCTATACGGAATTGTCCGATTCACCCGATATTTTACAGCAATTTTTTAACCAATATTGGCCCTATATAGAGTTCTCAGATTAATCCAAAAATTTTACATTCATAATTCAGCCAATATAGACCCTATATTAGCTGTATATAGGTCGGTATTGGCCCTATATAGGACCCATGTTATAAAATCTAGATATCCCAATATTGGTCCGTCGGTGCATGTTCAGTAAGGACCCACATTGAGTCAATTTTAAGCCAAACTGGGACCAAGGCAAAATTGTTGAGAGGGAACTAATGTTAATTATTGTTCCAAGCATAAAAGTTTCATAAAATTCAGCAAAATATCTCACGATTACAATTTGAGTCTTTCATAGTTTTATAACAGGCTTTGGATAGATTGAAATTTGTTTTCAATAATGATTACTGTCCTAATATTTTAAGATGTTAAGCGAGCTGAAATTGTTTTCTAGAACTTTTTAAAGATGAAGTATTTATTTAAATAGCACTGTTGACAAGAAAAATAAATTGTAGTAGTTCTTAATTCATGTCGCACTACAGCTGCACAATGGGCTGTTGGCGACTGTCTGGGAAACATTCCTAAAGATGATCTGAAAACATGCCATCATAATTTTGATCCTCTGTTGAGAGGATGACTTTCTGCGTTCGAAGTTGATGTCTTTGTTGTAGAACAGTTCAACGAAGACCAATACCACACTCCCTTGGTCCCTTCGCAGACTGGTCAAAGTGATCTCCAACCCGCTCACTGACGACCAGTTGTACTTGACGTCTGTGATCAACTAGGAGCCGCATTTTGATGATCATATGATCACAAGAAAAATAAACAAATGCATATCTGGACAAATTTTAAAAGATAAAATTGGTGACATGTGCCCAATAATAGACTGAAACATTCTGTTTTGAAATAATATAATACTCATTGAAATTAATCTGACCAACAATACTGTTAGTTGCTGACATTCTCGAAATTATCTAAAGTAGAAAGTCTATTTCCCTGAAAATTCCATGTTTTCCCTATATTGAGTGGCCACCCTGTATTATAATAATACTAATTATTCGTCAGGATTCGTACTTTAATTAATTGGTTTCATGCTTATTACTTTAATTACTTTAAACTTTACTTAAGTACTTTAATTATTTTTACTTATTATTATTTTTTTCAGAATACTTTATGAACTCAAGGAAATGCATTCATTTATATGTCAACAAAAATTTAATGTAGTTATTATTATTTTCGAACATATGATAAAAATTGTTCGCATAACGAAAAAGGAAATTCAACTTACTTCCTTTGGATTAGTCGTTATAAAATTCTTATAAATATTTTGCAAGTGTTTTCCCATAACATAGTTTTGAAGCCTTCCTAACTGAAAATAAAACTGAAATTTCAAAAATGAAAACATAAATGAAATTAAAATATAAATATTCAAAATTACTAGGAAATTCTAGCAAGTAACGTTTTGCACTATTGCACTAAGAAAAAAGTATGGTCAAAACTACCTGACTGTGGTAAATTTTACCGTGTTTTTGGCTCAATGGGAACACCGAAAGCTCAATTTTTTTACGAAACACTTTGGCAATGATTTTAATTACAATATTAACTCTAAAATATGGTTTTATTATGTGTGTTTAAATTTGGCAATTGTGGTAAAATAAGATATTCTTATTATGATACGTTAGAGTATGGCATAAAAATCATTTATTCAGTTAAATTCACAGCCTTGTAATGTTTGCTAAATGTGTAGTAGTAAGATTTATATTTTTGAAAACCAGAATTTCCGGTAAACCGTTACCATAAGAACGGAAAAATTGCCAACTGAATATCTTAAATACCGAATATTTCGGTTTTATTAATCAGAATTATGATTTTTATATATCAGATATGATTTTTTACCCGATATATTTGGTGTTGAAGTAAGATATTTGGATTATAAGTAATATATTTGGCAGATTAAAAACAATCTTATTGTAAACAAAATTTAAACATCAATTTAAAATTCAGTGTATGGATGAACTTGAAACGGTATCCGTGAAAAATGACTACATTTGATTATAACTGGAATCTGTGAAATCAGATCTGTTTCAATACAATAAAAAAGTTGGAACCTTTTATTTAAATGTTATGAAATGTTAATGTTATTTTCTGTTACTCGTTAAGAAACAAAGATGAATAAAAAGCAAACATAGGAGATAGTGAGCGATGATAGCAGAAGGCAGAATTTATAGTTTATAAATACCCTAACGTATGTGCTAGTAATCTAGCTCCATTATCAAAGAAAACTCAACTAACCAACTCCATGGAGTCTTTGTTAATCTTAGTCTGTTTTTGATATTTAAAAATATATATCTGTTAAAATATGTAGTAAGAATATTTATTCCTTCATTGATTAAAATAATTAATAAAAATTGTTCCAAGTAGCGATTAAAAATCAAATTATTAATTTATTTCTCCAATATAAAAACCTTGTTTTACTTTTAGCCACTTGACAAAATTTTTGTTGCCATTCATTAGGGAACTAATTATTGTAATAGAGTACATAAAAATAAGAATGTGTTGTACTAAAGTGTGTTAATTAGTATATATTAAGGGCATACATCACGAAAAAACACCCTGCATGCAGACAAAATAAATTTTATTTTCATTTCCAGCTCTTTTTCCTCACTTATATTCATTATATATATATTGTTATTGTTGTTGTTAATTTACGTCGCACTAGAGCTGCACAATGGGCTATTGGCGACGGTCTGGGAAACATCCCGGAGGATGATCCGANCTATTCGCGTCGATTAGTTATTAGTTTTTTTTTTTTGCTGGATTGAATCATTAAACATATTAAAAAATCATTCATTAATTATAGGTGATTATTGGTATAATATTAATCCTTTGCTTATTGCAATGAATAAATTTCCAACAAGAAAAATACACAAAAGCCGTTGTAATACGAATTATATCATGGAATGTTTTTGAATATCATAAGATGTATCATCGGAATGTATCTTTTTGAATATCATGAAAAAAATATCGTGGAATGTTTTTGAATTCAAGTACTTGGTAACAGAAAGATTGGAATATATATATATATATATTAGAGTATTGAGGAATATCAATACAATTTTAGATGAATATGCTTAAGAACAAAACTTTCTACTTAAAATTGGACTGCTATACCTTTCACTTTAGAATTTCCTTTTTAAAAAGATAGTTTTAAGGTACGAACTTAAAATGATTTTAAAAAATCTCTAAAGGCATCTCTTAATCTTTTGGGATCACTTAATTATTTTTTATGGCAGGTTTCCTTTATTTATTAATGCAAATAAAACAGAAAACTGTTTTGTTCTTGTTCTTTGTTGAACTGTTACGTAGCACAAGGTATACCTAGCCTCTTTCGGTTAAAAAAAAATGCAAGACTGATACTTTCACGAGAGCTCATTTTTTATTTAAAATTTTATTGGTACTCTTCAAACAAATCATCAATTTTGGTTAGATAATTTCATGTTTTACAGTTTTAGACTAAAATTATGAAGAAAAAAATTACTTTTGCTGATAACATTCATTTAAGGATTCATTTTAATAACATTCCCACATAATATTTTTATGTTAGTTTTTTTTATAATTATTTATCAGAAAGTACAAACTAACACTGTCACATGAGATCAAATACCGTTTTAAATTTCATTAGTGGTTCTTAAGCAAAACGTTGATAACGGTTTTAAAAGAAAATTTAAATTATTAGAGCAAAATGATATAAGATGGCTTTCATACTGACGTTCATACCAATCATATGAAGAGGAGAAATGATTTATATACCATTTTTTAAAAAAAATAAATAAATAAAGTAAAACAAGTTTCATGGAGTTAAGATCCCCAGGAAAATGCTACAAATCTTACCTGGGTTAAACTTTGATATCCTTCTTTCCAAAAACCATGGGCGTTATAAATATTTGTAGGCCATGAAGTATAAGGTGCTCGATGACCATGCCTAACAATCTGCAATGAACGCATATGATTACCGGGCTGTTAATTCTACTTAGGAGTAGAATCTTTTACGATTTATTCTTATGCTTACACATAGCAAACTATTTTGCAATTAAGATTGTATACAAAATTAACATTTTTATGAGAAAAAAAGTAAGGTAAAAACTATCAAAATATGGTAAAATTTATCGTGCTTCTCTCTCCATGGGTACACCAGAATGCTCGGTAATTTTTCCCATACTGTAGTGATTTTAATAAAATATGATTTTATAATACATGATGAAATTTGGTAAATATAACAAAATTTGCCAGTTTTATCATGATAGAGCACGATATAAAAACCATTTATTCGGTTAAATTTACTTATCAGTTTTATATTTTTTTGTAAATATGTGATCATAAGAACTATAATTATGAAAATTTGAGTTTTTGGTAAACCATAACCATATGAAGGGAAAAATCACAAAATGAATGGTTTAAATACTGTATATTTTAGTTTTATTAACCTGAATTGTAGTTTTTTTTACTAAAAATGCTCATACCATAATACAGTACTGTAATTTTCCCGGTATTTTTTTCTCCGTATATAATGCGATATATTTAGATTCGCTTTTTTGATACTAAAATCGTTTAAAATTATGTATTTATGTTAGTCTTAAATCAATAATCTAATTTAGATATCAAGTAATGAATTTAATTATCTTTATTGATCCATAATAAATTTCCTTAAACTTTGCCATTACTATTCTTGAAGTATGTATATGGGCAAATCTCTAGAACCTTTAACCTATGGTGTCTTCAAACTTTTCTTATAAATATATAACATAATAAGGGAAAATTAATTCTAATAAAATTACAGAAGTAACTATGCATTACTAACTTTAAGATACGTACAGTTTTGATCGCGAGTAACTTGATTTTGGCCTTTATTTCTTACTTCAATCCTACGTTTGACGACTTTTCATGAGTGTCGCTTAGAGAGTTTAACATACTTTTTATTTTTTTTTCATTATGTATTCTGTTTAAAAAAAACTGAAAATCACTAAAAACATAATTAAGTGTATCAGCTGTACTATAATATTTTCTTGAATGATATTTTTCGTAAATATTGACGTTTGCAAACACTTAAAGTTTGTCGCGAAATTTTGGCACGTCAAACCGTAACCATCGAAAATTGAAAAAAAAGGTATACAATCCAATTCTGCGAGTTTTATGTTAGTGATATTCCAAAAGCTTATTTAAAGTAGAACAAACTTGTATCATTATTATAGATGAATATTTTTATTTGCAGTAATTATAAATTAATCGAATTTATCCCAAACTGTCATTCGGTGAGGTAGCAGTAACGATGTCAAGACCGTAACCTGACGCAGATCTAAAAAGTAAATGTTAAAATCAGTCAAAATTTTGATCACACGTTTGTCATTGCCCAATTTATTTTCTTTGTTGTGTGTATCGCATTGCGTTGCATCTGAGTAAAGTTTTCGATCTATTCCCTAGGTTGTCCAGACCGTAACCCTGTCAAACTTTAACCACAGGATTAATTAATTGAATTTAACATATCAGAACTTAGTTTTTTCCCTATGTTTTATTAATTGAAAATATTTTTTGACTAAAAATAATTAAAGTTGGCCTTTTTATACATTTTATAAAAATTTAACTTAATATTAAAATTCTTCAATTCATTTATGATACTAATAATTTTTGATGAAAAATAAGGGGTAAATAAGGAAAATTCAAAAATTTTAATATTTTGTTTATACTTATAAGGGCATCGAAATTTTCGATGTTCACGATTATTTTCTAATATTTCATACATTTTCAAACAATCCTGGAGGTTTAAAATAGTGTGCCTATATATTTTTTTTTATCGAAAAGTTAAAGGCTCTAGAGATTTGCTCATATACTTGTCTTTTTTTTCTACTCCTTAAAAATTTTAAGATATAATTATTTTTTTTTCCAGTATAACTGTCTATAATTTCTAATTTGTCTCAGATGTCTTCATTATTCAGTAATAATTGTATAGTATACTTGTTTTTATTATTCTCTTGAACCTCAATCATTCTATGACATTCTTATTTTCGATATTACCTAGTACCTCTATCGTTCCATGGTATTTCTATGATATTCTCGTTTATATTATTACCTATTACCTCTATCTTTCCATGATATTTGTATGACATTCTTATTTTTATTATTCCGGAAAAACAATTCAGCATACTTGACCCATAATAATTTTTCAATATGCTTAATTTATCTCATAATAATTTTCTGATATTTGTCTTTAATGTTCCACGAGGGTGTCGAAAAAAGTTAATTTAACCAAAAAAAGATAATTTTATTAAAGGTAAAGGTTAATTTAGAATTATGTTATCCTATTCGCGTCGATTAGTTATTAGTTTTTTTTTTTTGCTGGATTGAATCATTAAACATATTAAAAAATCATTCATTAATTATAGGTGATTATTGGTATAATATTAATCCTTTGCTTATTGCAATGAATAAATTTCCAACAAGAAAAATACACAAAAGCCGTTGTAATACGAATTATATCATGGAATGTTTTTGAATATCATAAGATGTATCATCGGAATGTATCTTTTTGAATATCATGAAAAAAATATCGTGGAATGTTTTTGAATTCAAGTACTTGGTAACAGAAAGATTGGAATAAACATTTTACAAACTTATTAAATTAATTATTGCATAAATTGGAACTGAAGATCAGAACTTACCATCTGTAAAAGAACAAGCTCTCTTTTTTTCTCGTTCGTAAACAACATGAATGACTCCAAATTAAATGGCTTAAATAAATATGGCGCATCTGCAAAGATACTATCGAGGACATTTCTTATACTAATAAGAAAAATTAAAAGCATAAAAAGGAAGAACAATTTTCTCTTTATCCGTCTCATCATCAATTCGAAGATTACACACGTTATATATTTCGCCTTAGTTCGTTATGTTTGTTCAGACGCATGCAGTCATTACTTTTGGGATAACTCAAAAAAAAAAACTTAATGCTTCAGGAATAAATAGGTTTATATTCTTTAATCCAAGTTTTGATAAACACTTCTGTATACGGTTTCGATGAAAATCTGTATATATATATATAATGTATGTATAATAATTCTGTATATATAATATTTAGAGTCTTTAAAATTTCAAGAAATCTTCAGAATCAATATATATATATNATGTGTATATATATATATTGTATATATATATTTCTCTTACGTGGTACATTAAACTCAGGTATTTCTCTATCGATTGGCAGATATTGTTCATTTTGTTAGGTTGTCTTAAGATAAAATTGCACTTTTTATTCATTAAAGTATTTTATAACTTATGAGCTACTTTTTCTAGTGAATTGGCCATTGTTTCATTCGAGGAAGCGCAAAGAAATATATAGGAAACACTGCTCCTCTCAGTAATTTCAAAGTTCACCTGGAGGGATATGGGGCAAGCTATTGAATTCCATATTTGGTCTGAACCACAACTTCTAAGAAATTAACCTAATCATTTCCGTTTTAAGGTATTTTTATAACACGAAGCATTACGTATAATATCTATTTTCTAAAATGCACATTTTAGTCTCTGTTTGAAATGAAAAAATAAATGTAACGTTAAAAAAATTATTAATTTCACTAATACTTACTGAGGGTAAATCAGCAATAGGGTCCAGTTTTCCCAAGGGTATATGCACTTTATAATCACATTCGTCTTCCCAGTTAGTTGGTACAAATTATTTTGTTCTATTGATTAAGTTTTCTAAAGGACAGAATTCTCCTCCGCAATCTTCAAAATACAGAGCAACGGGTGGATTGATGTGCTTCTCTGGATTGGAAGAATTAAACAATAGCCACCGAACAGAATATTTGTTTTTCCTTTCTTTCCATAGTTCAGCAATAAACGTGGCAGTCATTGGTGTTTCCAAATTAAGAAAAAGTTTTGAATTTTTAACCAAGCAATTTTTTTAGTCTGTAGTTTTGAATTTCTTAATGTTTTATTATTCATGTTAGATAAAATAAGGTATAGCTAGCGATTTTCCGAAAAAAATAAGCAGCCTCTAAATCATAGTTTTTTCAAATTTATTTTTGCGGCTGAAAGGCTCATTTATCTTTCAAATAAAAATTTAAGTGATTTTATTCGAGTAGCTGATTAAGAAGGAAAAAAATGAAAAGCTTAAGGACCCGATTTTGTTAAACTTTGCCCTATGAGTCTGAACCTTTCAATGTTATTAAAGAATGTATGTTTTTCAATCTTCAAATACTAATGTGAAATGCAAAGATTTTTTTTTCTTCTCAAGAGTCCCTAAAAGTTTGTATCAAGCAAACGTTTTTCTATTTTTTTTTCAATTTGTAGTCCTTGAAGAGCAAAACATTTTACAACGAATTAAATGTTTTTAAAATGCAGAATTGAGAATTAAGAAAGTAACACATTAATAAACAAGAGCACAATTCTTTTTTAACAGTCAATGCAAAACAATTTTACAATTTTATTATTGGATGAATATAGCTGATGACTATAAATATATTTATGATTTCCAGCAGCAGATGAGAGGTTTTTAACATTTCTGATGAAGAGACAAACTGCAATAAATAAAATAAAATATTTGTACATATAATTAAATAAACAGTTCACAGTATGAATAAAATTATTTTAAAAATTTAAAAAAAATAAAACTTATCTGAAGTTTTGCATGAAAAATTAAGGAATAATATATTAAAAAATCGAGTTGATATATTCTAAGTTAATTTTTCAGATATTGTGTTCATTTAATATAAAGTTTACCTTAAAATGTGTCGAAGAATTGCTTATAACATTTCTTAAAGATGCAGATGAAAAGTCGGTGGTTTGCTTAGTGTTATTATTGTTTTTAAAAATCAACCTACTTTTTCAGTTGTCTCTATTTTAACCTATTAAATTGCGACATACAAAAGATTAAAAGTTACAAAGCAATTCAATCGGTGCCTTTACTGCGTTAATTATTCGGTATCTTTTCCACATTAACTTTGCTTTTTAGTACCCAACTATTTTTCTTATTTCAATTACCGTTGACTTGAAATTATTTTATTTTCTATAAATTCGTTAAAAAAAAAGCACAACTATAAACAAAAATAAAACGTGGTTTCAGATAACTTTACATGGTGAAAAAAAAATTCTGGTATAATTATCATACTGTGTGGCAATGAAATTTCTGGTAAAAGAAAATCATATTTAAGATATTAAAAACTAAAATATATACAATATTTTAACCATTTCTATTCTATTTCGTAATTTTTTCGTTCATATGGTGAAAGTTTACCCGAAATTCAGGTTCTTAAAATTATAGTTCTTATTACCTCACGTTTAGTAAAAATTACAAAATTCAAAATTAAATTTTATCGAATAAATTATTTTTATGCCACGCTCTAAGGTATCTTGATAAAATTAGCAAATTTTAACACATAAACCAAATTTTATCATGTATTATAAAACCATGTTTTATAGTTAATTTTATCAAGATCATTAGCAAAGTGATTCTATTAAATACTACTGCATATTTTGGTGTTCTCATAGAGCCAGAAATACGGTAAATTTTTACCATATTCTGATAATTTTGATAATTTTTTTTCTCTGGGTGAAATAAGATTTTCATATAATTCAAATCATTAAATTATGGATTTGTTTCTCTCTCGTTCTTTCTTTCTTTTTTTCTCGGAATTTATCTACTAATTCGGTAAAGATATTATGCTTTTCACGTTGATAGCTGAGCTGGTAAAAAATTAATTAAAATTAAAAAAACATGCAATAAATTCCTTTACTCAGAATCGTCTAAAGTTCAACTTATAACAATGGATAAAGCGAAATATCATTTTTCAAATATCTCTCTTGAATGGATTAATTGAAATTTTTAAGCGATTTTGTGCATCGGGGACTAAAATTGTTCCTTGTAGTTAATTGATGCTGGTCCAAATTACAGTACCTTAGTATAGATGGTTATAAGAGATTTGCATAGCATGTTGGGGTAAGGGCAGACAAAACTATTGGGTAAACAAAAAGTAAAATTGATTAAAACTATTTTATTATAGGCTTCTCGAATTTTCGATATTACGAAAGTTATATACGAGTTCATTAAATCAGGGTTTGGCTGTAATGGTAATTATGGTATTATATAAAAATTTTGAATTAGTGACAAAGAAACTATAATTATTCTGTCACTTATACGTACTAGGGGTAAATCGCAAACAGTATCAAGTGAACGTAAAGATATGTTCATTTTGTAATCACATTCCGCCTTAAAATCATCAGGCCTAAACTGTGCTGTTTTGTTCAAAAAGCTTTCAACAGAACAGAAGCTTCCTCCACATTCTTCAAAATGCAATGATACTGGTGGATTGATTCGAATTTCTGGGCTTGAAGAATTGAAGTGAAGAAATCGCAGGGAATATGTATCATCTTCTTTCCACAATTCGAGAACTAGAACTGACCCCATAGGTGTTTCAACGAAACTAAATTTATTCAAGGTGAGTAACACCTGGGTTATTGTGCTCCCATGCTGTAAATAAGGAGAGGTATGTTAAGGAGAGCAATTAACATAAAGATCAAAGTTTTGTATACTTGCCTCAGAGTTTATAAGGAAACCCGATAATTTGAAAAATCAATTGAAAAACGGAAAGAGATAGAAGTGTACAGTTTGTAAAGTTCTGCTTAGAAAACGAAAATTTTCTCATCAAATTTTAAAATTGTTTAAAAATATATCATTAGATGGCGCTGCTGTTTTAAAAATAAATACTATTTGCAGAAAGAGTGTGATCCAGCCATAGAAAAAAATTGGCAGGCACATATGAAAATATTTCAGTTCGAATGGTTTCATATTTTTTCTAGCTAGAAGTTGCCAGAAAAATATTTTTTTAAAAAACTAATTTTGAGACTTGGTGAGAAAAATATCTTGATTTCCTTTCCATCTACTGCCTCTTTTCTTCCATCGATTTTTCAAACCACCGGCCATTCTTGATTCAACAGGTATCTTAAAAATATGTTATATAGCTCATATCATTTTTGAGGGAAAAAATGATATGAGCTACATAACGTTACTATGATACTACACATATTAGTATTCTATCTCAACTGTACTGTAGAACAGAAATGAGAGATAAAATCGATGGCATTATATTTTATGCAGCATTTTGTGGTTCACGGTGAAATTCATAAATTTTATAATTTGGTCGTTTCTATTAATTCAGTTGCTTAAGTTTCCAGCTTATCTGATGATAAATGGTCTATCTAAAATCGAAACTTTTTATAAGGGTCTGTAAGCTTAATATATATTAAATTGAGCCCTTTTTGTTACCCGTAAGTCCAAAATACAGGGTGTCCCAAAAATATTGTGTCTTGCTTCTAAAGGAGGTAGGGCATACCATAAGGATCAAGAAATGCTTAGCTGCCTCATGACTGGAAGTGGCATCGCACACCGCTAGGGGCACTTTCCTGTTATGAATGTATTGTTTGTTTGCCTTTGAACAGGTACCTTTATTGATCTGAAATAACCTTAATTTTGTGATTTATAATAATTACTGTCGAAAATTGTATTAAAATAGGCTTAGAAATAGCTGTTTTATCATATTTTAATGATTTGGCGACTAATTTGACAAGTTTTCCGGCCATAGGTTACTTCATAATTTATAAACCTTATGATGTGCCTTCTCCAAACGTTTGTCGCCACATTTACGAAACAATGTGTCTTGTCACGTGACGTTTTTAAATTCAATCCCTCATTGGCTCAATTGCGCATAGTATTGTAGTAATGCGTGGATTACAATTCTATAATTGTTGATTCTTTTGACCCGATGAACTTTAGTTTTAATGACGAAATTAAAGGAGTCAAAAGTGCGACAAAGAATTTTTTTTTTTTAATTTGAAACAAATATGTTTCAATATGCATTACAAAGCAAAATTTTAGAAATTTTTTTTCAAAATGGTATAATTTTTTTTTCTATTAACTAAGTTGTGGTCTGATATTCTTAGAAGATTTTTCCCAAGCATCTATACTGTTACTTAAGGATAATGTGAAACATAAATTTAATTTTATAAATGTTGAATCTGGATCAAATTAAATTAAAAGAAAAAGAATACTGCGATCTGTAATTTTACTTCGTCCGTGTATTTCTGAATAAAAAA